TAGAGGCCACCTAGTATCTATTCTAACACCTTGGTTTACCAAAAGGATAGGGCTGCACCCAGCTGACTTCCCCACCTCCCCACTGCCACCCGGAGAATGAGCTGAATCTCTTTTCAGCTGCACTGAGGGATACAGCTAAGGGCTTGAGAGTGGTACAAAAATCTGGAAGCGCTAAGAATGTGCAGACAAGAATGCTGAGAGTGGAGGATGAAGCCTCCATTTATCGGAACCAGTCCAGCTCTTCTTTGGAGCTGTCTGTACTTAGCATGACCATAAGAGGCAACGAACAAGGCAAAGAGATAGTAACTCATTTTTGGCCACAGCTGTGTGGACACTGAGGACACTAAAAATGACAGCACACTCCACTCCTATGTATCAGAGCAGAGGAATGCTGGCCACTCTTTATCGTTTATCTGCGATGAAGTTTTCAATGCTGGACTAGTTAGGAAAGCTCTGTTTACACCCAAGATCCACTTGCTTTTACAGATCAAGCCAATCCTCCAAAAGTGCGGTTAAGAAACCACCCTGACAGCTATCTTATTGATACGTTGCTGAAAGTTTAAAAACTATTCCATTCAAGCCTCTCAGTATTGCCCCCCAAGATGATATAAAATCAGGTTAAAAACATAGCTGACCATTGGTTCCTGGATGCCAGAGCTGGGGGCCAGCTGGCATGCCCAGGCTCGCTGGTTCACTGTGTTCGTCTCACAGTAACACAACCTGCCTTTTCTGTGACTTTGTCAGGTCTCTGTAGTTCTGTCACCACTTTACCTCAGTGTAGAACCTTCCTTAGTCCCTGTCTTGGTTACTTTTCTCTCGTTGCTGAGACAAAATACCCGACACCCCAAATTAAGGAAGGAAAGTTTTATTTAGCTCACAGTTTGTGGAGGTTTCAGTTCATGCTCAGCTGGCTGCAAGGCAGGGTGGCATGGTAGAGGGGCAACAGTTCAAGGCCACAGAAGACAGCAAGAACAGCAAGAACAAAAGTAGGGGGAGGGCAGGCTTTTCTGCCCTTATATTGTAAGCAGGCTACCATCCCCTAGGGAGAGTATAGCTCCCTATGGTTAATTACAAAACATAATTGTATTATTTGATATATGCTCCATAGAGCTGAGTTATTTTTCATGTTGATCTATTTTGATGATTATATAATAATCTGAAGAATTTGAATACTGCAATGCATTTAATGATTCTCAGTTCTCCCAAAAGGACACTTTTAGGCTGATTCCAAGCTTTTTGTTGATTGCTTCAAAAAAAAAAAAAAAAAAAAGAAAAGAAAAAAAATTGTAGTTGATCTCCCTGGATTTAAAAGGAATTTCATATGACATGTTTTTCAAAGTCTATCCCGTGGCTGGCTCATTTGCCTCAGAATCCATTGGGGTGGGCAGCACTACTTTAAAATGTATATTCTCGGGTTCAGTTACACACTTGCCAACTTGGATTTCCTGGGAATCGAATCTGGGAGTCTATGTTAAGTCTCCTGGGGGATTTTAAATGCACATTAGAATTTGAGACTAAACTCTGAACTTCTTGTACTGGGCTGCAGCTTTGTTCATAAGAGCTGCCACAGATGGCACCCTGGCAAGGTCCTGGGATAGTGGTGGTGAACCTGTGGCACGCGTGCCGCAGCCAGCTGTTTGCTATCATTGAAAGCTCTAAAAGGTTTGCCGTCACTGTCCTAGGAGATGTTCGGGCCAGAATTTCATCTTCAACCAATGCTATTCATTTTTCCACTCTAAATGGGAGAAGACTGAACTCAGGTGAAGGCTGAACTCATTTCTCCAAGTTTACCTAAGATATCACAGAGCTAATATCTGAGCCCCTCTAACTCAGAAGCCCCTATTCTTAACCACCTGGCTACACAGATAACAAAGGATTAGATTCCATCCCCCTACTCCCCAAAAAGTCCATGCATGGCAAACATAACCCCCCAAGACAGTAACGCATCTGTGAACCGCCAGACCATCTGTGATCTTCGCCAGACCTGTATGAAAAATGGGAAGAGGGTCCTGAGAACAAGTGCTTTTCCTTTTGGTCTTGAAACTTAGCATCTGTACAAAAAGCAGCAGTGATCAGTGTGCCAGGAGGCAGGGATGGCTGAGGGAGAGCAAGGCCATGCCCAGGGGCGGGAGGGGGAAGTACTCCTTGACTCCTTGCTGGGACATTTCTGTTTCTGGGGGAGAAGAGAGTTTTGTGAGCATTTAGGCAGAGCAGTCTAGAACAAAGGTTGGCAAATATTTCCATTTAAAGCTCATATAATAAGTAATTTTAACCATTCACAGGCCATGTAGCATTGCATAGGTAGCATATTAATTATTATTGGAAGTGGCTATTTTCCAATACAAGTTTATCCACAAAATGGGTGGCAGGCTGGATTTGGCTCACTGCCTGCTGTTTTGGTTTATAGTTACATGTCCCCTTGAAGCCTCGTACAGTCATAGACAGGAGTTTAGAAAGGCGGGTGAATTATGGGAGCTGATAGCTGACTTGCTGCTAGGAGGTAAGGCCTGGTCCAAAGGGGCAGGTTACTATTGTTCCTCAACGACAAGGAAAATGGCTAAGATACTCGGACGGGAAAGCATTGGCTTTAAAATCTGCCTGGGTAAGTTTGATTTCCACTAGCTGTGGTAAGAAGCAAGTGACTAGCACCACAAGTGGGGTGACTAGCAGGAGGACCAGACAGTTAAGAACTTGGGCTGTGGGAATAAAGGGCCTAGGATTTGATCATTGCCTATACCAGTCATGAGATGCATGAGCTTAGATAAGATCCTTTTCTGAACTCCCCAATCTCAGAGAACTGTGGTAAGAATTACACGAGCATAGGCAAAGCGTGCATGTGTGTACGCGTGCCCGCACATGTATCTATAAATGCCTATCATCCAGGGCCTCCACAAAGTGAATATTAGCACTAGTATTCTCTGAGCGGTGAAGTGAGGGTAATATTGGCACCTTTTCCCCTCAGTGTATGGATTATATTCAGAAACAGGTACTAAAGTTCTGACACACAGTGGAAGCTCAGCGCTTGTAAGATCTGTTATACTTGGGAGATAGTCTGCTTTTCCAGGAGCCCTGGGGGAACACCCCACAGACCAGAGCTTTGGTAAAAGAGTTGTATTCATGAGAATCAGAACCTTCTCAGTTGTCTTTGGTGTGCGATCCAGCACAAGGTGAAAGCAGCTAGTCAGCTTGGGTGTCACTGATGTAGGAGCATTGTATTCCTCCTTGACAAGCCCATTGCAAAAGCCAAGCTCTATTCAAGAGCCCCGGACATGGCCGGTGTTGCTTGCTTCTGTCTTTGCTTACCCCTCTTTCCCTGATCAGAATGGCTGCCTCCTCTCCAAGTCTACTAGTTTCCCAAGACCTCTGCAGATGTACTTTCCCCCCGCAGCCTGTCCCTTACAGCCCCACCCCACAAGGAACTCCCTCCTCAGGGTGCTTGAGATTTTCATCTTTGCATTGATATTTCTTCATCTGAACCCAGAGGTCTTTGAGGGGTTGGATCATGTTATACCTCTTGGTTTCCATTTTACTATCTTCCCTCTAGTGGTCTACAAATACTGGTGGACTGAAAAAGAAGTAAGTGGTTTTAAATTGATGGAATTGCTGCTGTATATTGTAGGCTAAGAGCCATTAATTCTAGGAGTTGTCAACTCTTGTTGACATTTATTAACTTAATGGAGCTCCACAAAGAGAATTGCCCTTTAAGAGCTTGTATAACATAGCAATAAAAGTGAAGAATATTCTAGAAAGAATATTCTATAAATCCTTCCCAAGGTACAATCTGTATGTTCTTTCCCCATCTCTCTGCAAAATGCGGAGGAAGGTAGAACCAGAGCCTGGCTGCCTGAGTAGCTGCTTGGAGGAGAGCCAGAGCTGCCTGGACAGAGAGACCTGATTTGAGAAATAAACATTTTTAGTGTCAAGGTCAAACAAAACAGCACATACAGACACACAGAAGATGGTGCCCAGGCTCTTGTTGGGTGGATGATTTTACTTAAAGACTGCAGGCTCCTCTGAGGAGGCTGGATTAAAGACGCATTGTCCAAACTGATAGACTACAACCTGAGTGTAAATGCGTGTTCCCACTCCGTAGTCTGTGGTTAACGTTCAGGAAGTTTTTTGTATGCCTGCAGTTAATCACCATAGAGACTCTGTTAGCCTCCACATGGTTGCTTGTGTTTAGAAGTGCTACCCTCCCACTGAAAAGTCTGGCCACAGTGGGATGATGGTCCAGTAACTTCAGATCCACTGGAGGGAGTTGCTGTTTTCTGCCCAGCTGGCTTTTTTTTTTCTGAGAGTGATAACTTCTTGAGCCTCCTATTTCAAAATTCAGTGGGAATTGTGCTCTGAAGTTCTAAACCCAGGCAACAGTCCCTACTGTGGGGCTGTGAGGATTAGACAGTCTTCAGAACCCTTGGCTAATAGGGGTCACTGGTGCTGGACGACCGTCACCCAAGCCGGAGGTGGTGAGGCAGCTCAGCATTGCAGCACCCAACTGTACTCCTGGATATGGCCCACCAAGGCCGGCATCGTGGAGGAGCGCCCGTCAGGCCCTTCCAGCAAAGCGTACCCATCACTCTTGCAGACCCTTAGCACAGTTTCCCTGAGCTCAGTTTTCTGCTTTCCCACCTCCAGAAGACGCTAAGCCCCGACAAGAAGGGGAAGGGGCGTGAGGCAAGGATGGGGAGATGGCGGGTGGGTGTTCAGCAGACTAGGGGTTGTCAGCCTGGAGTCATCAGTGGGTTTGGGGGAGAAAATAGCCCATGTGCAAAGAATGACATCATTACATGACACAACGGAAATGTACAGGTGAAAGTGAAGTCCAAGGAAAGAGTTAATCTCTACCCGTCATGGTGGTTTAGAGGGCAGACTTGTCACCGTGGGCCTCTGCTGGGAGTCAGCTGCTCCCAGTAACGGGAACACATTGGTTTCTGGCTCTTGCCCAGTTTATCTCCCTGCCTCACTGACTTTTCTTCTCTTTCCCTTCTGGGTGCGCTCAGGGGAGGACGCACGGAGACAGGCCTTGCTCTGAAATACCTTCTTCAAAGAGGGTTCCCTGGAGGCAGAAATGGCTCTGTGCCCCAGTTACTCATCATTGTCACCGACGGGAAGTCCCAGGGGCAGGTGGCGCTGCTGGCCAAGCAGCTGAAGGAGAAAGGCGTCACTGTGTTTGCGGTGGGCGTCCGGTTTCCCAGGTAAGGGAAATACCTCCGCCCTGTGTCGGCCCCAGGACTGTGACGTGGCGGGGAGAGCCCACGCAGCTGCGCCAGGAGTGGCGTTGGGAAAACTGTCCCAGTCCTTGCCTGGTCTGTCTTTTCCTTACTTCCCTCACTTCGGCTCCTGTGTGCTGGGTGTCTTGGGTTTTGCCAGTCTGAGAGTTTGTGTTATCCCTGGTTTTGTCTGATCACTGCATGAAAAGTATCTGAAACTCTCAGCTCAGGGTTATTTGCAGAATAATGTTAATTCATAGTCATTTTACTTTCCCTGAGGAGTCGGGGATCCCTCAGACGGGCAGGAGCCACACAGCTTTGGTGCCGTTAAGACACCCTCTGTCCGCTGTGCATCTCTGCCGTCATCTCTGCCTCCACGTCTCCTCCCAGACAGTTCTCTTGAGCTGGAAGTAGGCAATGGCAGTGCCGAGCTCACGTCTTGACACCCTGGAGAGAGAAGACCCACTTTCCCAGTTTCAGATATTCTAATTCTGATGGCCTGAGCCCTCCTGGTGCCAGCAGAGCAAGGGCCCATGACTGGCTGCCCCTCTCCAGCCACATGTGCTCAGATGCCGGGCAGATCTGCCTTTCTGGAAGAGAGGGACATAACCCTAAAAATGGGCGGGATACCCAGTCCGTGGATTTCTAGGTGTTGTGGGTCTTCAGTGAAATGACTATGTTCCTGCATGTGCCTACACTTAGAACTTTTAAAATTAATTTTAATGAATTGTTCTCTCAATTACTATAGGCTGTCTTCCTCATGTCAGACACTGTTCTAGGTTCTTGGGATACAGAGTTGACAAAGCAAAGTCCTAAACGAACAATCTGAAATAAAATGAAAAGGAGAAAAATAAAGTAGGGTCAAAGGTTAAGGACTGATGCGGAATAGAGAGGCTAGCTATTTTAGACCAGGAGTCTGCCAGGGCTTCTTGGAAGAGTTGAATTTTGAGCAGAAATTCAAGTGATGTGAAGAAGAAGCTGCCCAGATACTGAGGAAAAGAGCAGGCAAAGCCAGTGGACATTTGACAGCTGCAAAGGCCCCAACGCAGTAGCCAGCTTGGAACAGAAAATAGCTAGGGAGATCTGGGGCTCACCAAGCAAGCGGGGAATCCTAAGACATAAGGCAGATAAGTTGGACAGGATTGGGGCATAGATCATGGTGCAGACTTGGAGTTTGTTGTGAGTGCAGTGGGAAGCGCTCAGAGGGTTTTGAGCAGGGAAAGACAGTGTAGGCTCTGTGCGAGGTGTAGGTTGGACATCTCGTAAAGCAGCCGAGCAGGTGTGTGAGGACCATAGAGGAGAGGACAAGGATAGAGAGTGACATTTGAGGGGGTACTGAGGAGCCAGGGCGGAGTGGGGAGACAACCCAGGGGCAGCAGATGCTGGCTGGAAAGAGGAAGCCAGTAGAATGAAGGGGACTGTGAAGGGTGGGGACAGCCAGGATCGTGCTAGGTCCTGGTGGGGATGAATCATTACTGTCATAGCCCACTATGTCGGTATTCACGCTGCTGGGCTCTTTCTCTATCCTCAAACATAAACACAACCTCGGGAGGGAAGAGGGACTTGCTTTGAGACCCTGCCCACCCTCCTCCCACACAGTGCTGCAGAGAGCACCTTGAAGACAGCTGCTGCCCAGTGTTGTCAACCAGGGCATTGAAACAGAGGAAATGCACACCTCCTTCCTGCACTGCTCTCTCCAGTGCTTCTCAGACTGTGTAGCCATGGACCCCACTCTCAGCCCACTGTGGACTGATATTTTAAAAATGCAATGAACTAGCAGAAAAAAGAAATAAAAAAAAAAAGCCAAAATAAGCTCAGCAGACATAAAAGGACCGTGGCTATTGCATGGTAGTTTATGATGCTTCCTCTCGGAGGCTGAGCCTGTGGAGCTCTGATGGGGTGATGAGCCGTTCGGGGCTGGCACTGTCCACAGGTCATACTTTGAGCAGCCCTGGCCTGGAGAAGTCAAGGCGCCTGGGTCAGCAGAGGGGGCTGAGCTGTTTGCACAGGACCCCTTGCCCACCCCGTTTCCCACTCCTGCCTAGTTGGCCAGGGGTTCTCAAAAGTGCACTCCCTGGGGAAATGTTAGAAATACACACGCGTGGGTACCCCCCACCAAGGCCAAAGCTGGAGCTAAGGGTCCTCTGTGGGCTGTCAGGCTCCGGGACTCCAAAACCCACCAAAGACAGCAGGGGACTCCATGTAAATCTCTTTCACCCTTTTAGCACTTGTTGAAACCTTTTCTCCTCTGGCTAGCCTGTGAGCTCCCTTTGAGGAAGCCTGGGCCAGGAGACTAGAGGGCAGGCCAGGCAGCGCTGCCCCAGAACACCAATGTGAGGCCACCCCTGAAAATCCCCTGCTGTGTGCCATACACTGACCTGGGTGCTGAGCGAAACATCTGGTTTATGTGGATTCAGATGACAGTGCGGTTCTACATTAGCAAATTTTGGAGATAAATGAAGTTTTTGTCATCTTCCCCCCCCCCCACCCCTTTCCTGGGAATTGAACCTAGGTCCTTTGTACTGAGCTATATCGCTAGCCCCTTTGATATTTTATTTTGAGATAAAGTCTCACCAAGTTACATAATTGCCCAGGCAGGGCTCAAACTACAGGCATGTGCCACCACACCCAGCTATTTTGATGGACTTTTAATGGTAAGATTCTTTTCGGGGGAGGTTTTTTTTTTTTTTTTTCCGGTACTGGGAATCAAACTCACAACCTCACACTTGCCAGGCAGGCGCTGTGCTGCTGAGCTAAATCCCCAGCCCCTTAATGGTAAGATTCTTGTCTACACATTACTGACTGCCTTGTCTTCTTACAAAGAAGTTTCTCAGAGCCATTTAATCTTTTCTATGTGTCCTAGTGTCATCCTGACTTTTTAGTTTGTTTGTTTTGGGTGCAGAGAACAGTGTCCTGTGGCCATCAGAGCATGCTGGCTGCCTCCCCTGGACAGCCTCACTGTCTGGCCTTGGGTTTTACATGGCCAGTGTTTATAGCACTTCCGTGTTTTTTGTCTGTTACTAGCTGTCCTTGTCTGTTCTTTCCTTGCTGTTACTTCAAACTGCTTTCCTTCATGCGCTCTCTGATTTTTTTCTTATAAAACTGACAGTTTTACAAAACCAGACGATTGAATCTGAGAGGTCTGTATCTCCAGTAAGAGGCAGGGTCCTCAGAGGATGAGGCTGTCCTCTGAGGATGCTCAGGAATTTGAACACGTGCACATGGTGACATACAGCCGGGCTTCCTTGAGGACTCTCTGTGGCTCATTTCTTTGTCTTCGTCTGCATCTCAGATGGATCCGAATGCTGCCAAGTGAACTCTGGTTCAGTGGGGTGCTGCTACCTTCCAAAAGGGTGCCAGGCCCTCTCCTCTGGTGGGCAGGAAGAGGGCGGGTGTGGTGCCCCCAGCCGCTGGAACTTCTCCGCACAGGTGGGAGGAGCTGCGCGCTCTGGCCAGTGAGCCCCAGGAGCAGCACGTGCTGTTGGCTGAGCAAGCGGCGGACGCCACCAACGGCCTCCTCAGCACCCTCAGCAGCTCTGCCCTCTGCAGCACTGCTGCTCCAGGTAGGACTGCACACCCAGGAGGCACTGGGGGGCTGGGGCAGGAAGGGCAGGTTCCTGAGGCCAGGGCCTCCCTGAGGAGGAGGAGGACGACAGCGACAGGCAGCTCTGTCCCGGGCACTCTGTACTGTGTCCATGGGCCCCTGTGGGTTTCCCAGCTCGTACCCGGAGCTTGTCTCCGGGGAGAGAAAGGCCCAAGGCGTGGAGTCCAGACCAGATGGGGCCCCATCCTCCACTTGGGAGGAAGAGCCAAGACCTCTGCCCCTGGCTTGGTCAGCACAGGGGACTTCAGGCAGGGGGTGAGATCCCTGCTTTCTAGGCATCCTTGTCAGGTTCCCTCCAGGGCCACAGTGCCCTTGCTAAGGTACAAGAGTGTACAGTCTTTTAAGGCCATGGGGTGGGGCTGCGTAGAGCAGATGCCCAGAGACTGGACCCTGGCCTGGGTGCTGTACCCCGAGAGAGGGTGAAAGTGGCTGGGGTGGGTGGAAGCCTAGCAGCGAAGGCCTCACCCCGTCTGACTGCCTGCTCTCTGCTGGTGTGTGCTGCGGGCAGACTGCAGGGTCGAGGCTCACCCCTGTGAGCACAAGACGCTGGAGACCATCAGGGAGCTGGCTGGCACCGCCCCATGCTGGAGAGGAGCCCTGCGTGCTGACGCTGTGCTGGCCACACGCTGTCCCTTCTATAGGTTTGTCCATGGCCAGGGGGACACATGGCTTGGCCTGGGTGGGGTGGGCCAAGTGCTTCCTAGGCATAGGGAGGACAGCACTCCTCTGGCACTGGACATGGCCCTGGAGCCTGTGGCAGGAGTCAAGGAGACCCAGGAGGGAGCCGGTGACGGAGCTCAGGCGGTGGGCATTGGGATCCCAGCCCTGCGCCCAGTAATCATGACTCGGAGCAGCCTGGTTCAGCCCTCTGAACCCCTTCCCACCCGCAAGATCAGTCTCTTCAGGTAGCTGTAGGTTCCAGATGACGACAGGGATACCTAGCACAGCCATCCTGGCGATTTCTGTGGCTGTTGGGTTGTCACAGAATGCTGATGCTCAGACAAGCCTGAGACGTCATCAGATCCCGCCGTTCACAGATCCTCTTGCACTCTAGCGCCTCACTGGGACACTTGTGCAGAACAGATAGAAGGGCGCAGGGCTGGAACATTCAGGAGGTCTGGCGCCTTGGCCTCTCTGTCCCCTTCCCTCACCACCAAAGCTCCAAGGAATGCAGTTAAAGCCCGTGGAGAGGGAGCTTCAGACTGGAGAAGGAATATGACATGCCTGGGTCACTCAGTCAAAATCTAGTGACCCAGCTCCCTGCTTGGGGACCTCAAAGTAAATTGGTAATGAAAGGCTATTGCCATAGGTGGGGATTAAGAATATACATATACATACTTAAACACATATAGATACACACACACCCTTTAGTGGGAAATACCCCTTACTCTATGTGCAGATAAAATTTAGGTAGAATCAAGAAAGAAAACAAGGGAGTCTTTTTTGAGCCACTTCTCCACTGGAATCTTCTATCAGCATTTAATGTCACAATTTTGTTGTTGTCTCTGCCACTCTTTTTCCCTGGATTGTAGCTGGAAGAGAGTATTTCTAAGCCACCCTGCCAGCTGCTACAGGACCACCTGTCCAGGTATGGTCTGCCTGTTGGATTCACCAGTTCTCTCTGGGACCTGGCATCAAGCTGGTTTGTAAATGCGCAGTAACAGTCCTAGGACTGAGGGTGGGGTTGGGACAGGCACCAAGGCAGAGGGAGGGGGGGCATTTTGGAGGCAGGGAAGAGTATGCTTGCGCGGTATTCTTCATCTGCTCAACAGTAGTTTTACTTTGAGAGTGGAGTGCCAGCTTTGGAACTACTCCCTCTAATCAGCACTCTTGTACTGGCGGAGGCACAGAAGCATGCCTACCAAGCACCAGCTTTGCACAGCCTCACATCCAGTGCCTACCTCAGGGCAAGCTATGCGAGGGGTAAAAGGAAGAAATATTTGCTTGGCATCTAGTGTCCCCATTTCCCCCTCCATACAGTAGGGAATCTCATGCAAAAGGTCCTAGTAAGTTTCAACATCTTATGCCCATGGGCATGCTTTATCAGCTATAAAATTCCAAACAAACGTGATGAATTGTCCTCGTGGTTATGTATCATTCAGCACAGTTCCCCCCGTGTTCTCACTGGTCCTCACCCAGGAATCCACAGCACCCTGTTACTGGGAGCTGACGTTGCTCCCAAGTGTGTTGGTGTCCATCTTTGTGCAGGCTCGCTGCTCTTGATGAGGTAGGAGTCTGTCCCAGAAAGCAGAGCCAGCGTTTACACACGGGCAGGAGAGTGTTCCTACCTGGGGTCAGGTGATCCCCTTGACATGTCCTGTTGATGTGTTAAAAGTTCCATCCCTTGAGACTTAGTGGAAACTGCTGGTGGGGCTGTTGCTGCTCGGAAGTTAGAATCTGAGGACTTAGAGCAGCGGCAACACAACTTTTAGAGCTTTTGATGAGACAAACCACCCGCTGTGGTGTACATGCTGTGCATTCCGCCTTAGAGTGACCTGAGTGTGAGCCCCACTCTGCCTCTCCTCAGTTACCTAACCTTCTGCACATGACTTCCTTTCACTAAGCTGCAGCCTCCTTGTCTGTACAATGGGAGGCCCACAGTTCCTACCTCCTAAGGTGGCTGTGACTATGCAGTGAAGCCATATCTGTGGCACGGTTAGCACAGAACGTGGCACATAGCAGATACTCAGTTAAAGGTCTTTGTGGCTGCAGGTCATCAACCCAGGATATTTGCAGGTGCTCCAGCTGCCAGGACAGCAGGGCTGGAGGGTGCAGAGTTAGCGTCAGTAATCTCTCCCTTTGAAAAGTCTGCATTTAAATTATAGTGATAGGACCAGCCAAGAATATTTTGAAACAAAAAGGACAGGAATCACCAATCCCAACCATGACCGCATTCAGCTGTTTATCAAACCCTTTGAATACACGAACACATGAAGATCCTGTTTCTTCTCTTTAACCTTGGGAGGGAGGTCATAGGGTTTTATCTCCATTTGCAATGGATTAAGAAAATTAATAAGGCATTCAGAGAGTGAGCACAGGTTATCATCCATCAGACCCTGCGGAATGGGCCCGATTTTGATAAAGGCCGTAGTTTCCTGTGTAACACAGCAGCTTTGTGGAGGCATTACTCATAATTTGCACTTCACATCCAAGTGCAAATGTAGTGTTACTATCCAGGAGTGTTTGCGTGATGCTGAGGATCTCCATGGACTCGGTTTCATGCACACAGCAGCCCTGGGGTCAAATGCAGGCACCAGGACTCTGTTTGGAAGAGGGCACAGAAGCACGGAGAGGTGAATTAAGGTGTCCAGGAAGAGCAGGTGGCCGCACTTATCACCGAATTTTCTGGCTGCAGGAAATGAAGGCTAACTATTTTGCTGTGTTAGCCTCGGAAGCCATGAAGAACAACTATGGGAGAATTTAAAAAAGAAAGGGCCTCAGCAGCCCCTAGCATTCCCTGAGTCTTACAGACACGCACACTTGCACCCTGACGCTCCTGACATCTTCATCTTGGCAAGCTCAGGTCCAGCAGAGTTAACCATTACGACCGCCCTGAGCCCCCCAGGCCTCCCAGCAGCTCTGGGCTGTTGTGGCCTGTGTTCCTGGTATCAGAGCCAGGTCCCACAGGAGTGTCCTGGGTGTGTCATTTACACAGAGCCTTACGTAGCTCACCACTGTGTGTCCTGCGCCAACCACACCCAGGCACTCCTCTACGTACGCGCTGGTCTTTACCCTCTCTGCTACACGTGTCACAGCTGGGTTCCTAGTAGACAGTGCAGGAGGAAAAGGGCTGGGCCCTGTAGGACTCACTCCTCCAGCTTGCCCTCTACGCTCCTGTGCCAGTGCGCTTGGCTCTTAACTGGCATCTCTCTGCTAGGTCCTTGTGACTCCCAGCCCTGCCAGAATGGAGGCACGTGCATTCCAGAAGGACTGGACAGGTACCATTGTCTCTGCCCACTGGCCTTCAGAGGGGAAGCCAACTGTGGTATGTACATGTGGGATTTGCATGATTTACCCACTGGGGAGCAGGTAAAGCCTGGACTCCCCTTCGCACCTCCCATCTGGCTAGCTACTCTGTAGAAACCAGCCCTTGAGTTCTAGAGCCCCTACTTTCCCAGCCCTGCCTCGATCTGACATCTCAGATGGTACAGTGTCTAAGTTCTCCATGGATAACTAATTCAGGCGGCAGAGTTTTGGTGGGACGGTGGCCCCTGGCTTAGCTGTGGAATGGCCACTGCCCTCACTAAACCCAGCTGAAGGCTGGAGCCAGCCTGGTTCTGGCCAGAATCTTTCTTCTTCTACAAAAGTAAAGTATACAGGAGCCTCTCCCCTTTTTGGTTTTAAGGATATGAAAAAAAGATCCTATAAGTGTTAGTTCATAGAATGGTTGAGGATTTTAAATAAAAATATGTAAGTGCTTAGCTAGCACAGGGCTTGACATATAGCAAGGGAATGTTAAACAGGAACTTAAATATGTGGCTGTGGGTTCACTGGAGATCCATACGGAAAAAATGAATCTTGGCTCTGTACTCCCACGCCTACCCCCAAATCAATCCCAGGAGCATGAGAGATCCAGATGTAAAAGGCAAAGCAGGGAAGCTTCGGGATGGAAACACAAGAGCGCATCTTCATGATCTCAAGGCACAGAAAGATTTCCTAGGACACAAAAGCCACTAACAGTGATGGAAAAAATTGTATGCTCTTTACAAAGTGGTTAGTCATAGACCCTGGGCCAGAGTCAGGAGGGCGCGCTGCACATCTGCCTGTTCGTCTGCGCCAAACACTGGTCATTTGCACCAGGGCTGGGGCGGGGTCCATGTCTCCATCTCCCTTGGGGGAGGAGGAGGTTTCTCTTGCCCTGAGTGGTGTGTGGGCAGCTCAGGTGGGGCTGATCTACATGCTGCCTTGGCTACCGAGTGACAGTCGGTGTCCTGTGGTCCCAACAGCCCCGAAGCTGAGCCTGGAGTGTAGAATCGATGTCCTCTTCCTGCTGGACAGCTCTTCGAGCACTACCCTGGAGGGCTTCCTCCGGGCCAAGGCCTTCGTGAAGCGCTTTGTGCAGGCCGTGCTGAGTGAGGACTCTCGGGCCCGTGTGGGAGTGGCCGGGTACAGCAGGGAGCTGGCGGTGGCAGTGCCTGTCGGGGAGTATCAGGATGTGCCAGACCTCGTCAGGAGCCTCGACGGCATCACATTCAGCGGCGGCCCCACCCTCACAGGGAGAGCCTTGCATCAGGCGGCAGAGCGTGGCTTTGGGAGTGCCACTAGGACAGGCCAGGACCGGGCACGAAGGGTGGTGGTCCTGTTCACCGAGTCACACTCTCAGGATGAGGTGGCCGGCCCAGCACGTCACGTGAGAGGCCGCGATCTCCTCCTGCTTGGCCTGGGCAGTGAGGCTGTGCGGGCAGAGCTGGAGGAGATCACAGGCAGCCCGAGGCGTGTGATGGTCTATGCAGAGCCTCAGGACCTGTTCAACAAAATCCCGGAGCTGCAGGGGAAGCTGTGCGTCCAGTCACGGTCAGGTAAGTTCCCGGTACCTGTCCAAGCATAACCCTCCTCTTAGGCACCAGTTTCTCAACTGCTAGTCAAGAGTGTGCATTTTTGGAGGTTTCTTGTGCGGACTAGATGAGATGAAAATGCACGCAGTACAGACTAATCATCTGCAAATTTCAGGTGCGGCAATATTATTCTCCATCATTATTATTAGTGTTAACAAGGAGCTCTGAATCTACCAGGCCTGATCTAGAATAGCAGGTTTCCAGGCCGTTTGATGGCATCCCACAAAAACAAAGGCATTTCTGGATGCTTGCGCACATGCGCGCGCACGCGCGCACACACATACACACACACACACACAGCTCAAACAAGTATTTTGTGAAAGGCTCTATCCTGCCTCCCTGAGGTTCATTGTCACATTGCTCTGTTCCATTCTGTTTTCATGACCTGTGAAGCTGATTTCATGAGGCACTATTGCAGGGTGCTGTGGGGAATGGGGCCTGGCCACAGCCAGAGGTGGGTGGCTGGAACGTGTTGATGCCCGGCACCGCGCTACTCCCTTGGGAGCTGGGCCGCAGGTGGGACTGAGCTTCTCTGCCCACGTCACTCTCCCCAGCCCAGAGGCCCTCCTTCATCTAAAGGGAGGACATGACTTGCCCCTCCCCTCCTACCATGCCCCTCCAGGCTGGTCTTTCATGGCAGTCAGAATGGTTTTGTTTCAAAGAATAGTTGTAGATTTATAGGAGAAATGCAACGGTAGTAGAGAGTGCCTATATAATCTCACACCCAGTGCTCGCTCTTGTTAACTCCACTAGCAAGTGCATTTGCTACAGTGATTGAAGGGATATTGATACATTATTTTTATAGTCCATCCTTTTGTCCTGACTTCCTTTTTACCTAATGTCCGTATGTTCTAGAATACCAGCCAGGACCCTTCAGGGCGTTTGGTGGCCTGTCCTTAGTCTCCTGGGGGTTGTGACAGTTTCTCAGTTTTCCTTATGCTGATGTGGTGTCTAAGAGCCGATCAGTCAGGTTACCAGGCTCTGTGCCATACTCGGACCTTCCTGGTGGCTCACGGTGCAATTGGAAGAAACCCAGCTCCCCTCTTCCAGCTTCTGCTTGCTCCGCATCTGGTCCCTGCGGGTCTCTCTGCAGCCCCTGAGAGAGGCCTTCTCCCTGCTTGGGAGGTGCCGTGCCCTGCAGGCTCACGTGCCTCCTTGTCCTGCAGCTCTAACCCTAACTGGTGTCCCTGCCCAGAGAAGCCCTGACCCCTCACGCAGGCAAATCATGTTGCCTCTGCTGGTTTCTGTCCTGGTTCCCTACTTTTGTCTCCCTTCCCTTCACTCCATTTGTAATTCTACATTCATTTTCTGTCTGTGCCCCTTGGACTGTTAGCCCATGAGCACGGGCGTGGGCCCACTTGTTCCATGAAGGATAATTGGCATCGTGTGTGCAGTGGGCGGCACATGGAAAGTGTATGATAATGGGGTGGATGAGGTACAAGTTAAAATGTCACCGTGCCCCAAACCCAGTGGCCTGCATGATGGAATCTTCTTCCTCTTGTGTATGGCTCAGAGGTGAGTGGTCTGCATTAGTAAGGTGGCCTGGCCATCTTGACGTCTAAGATCCCCATCTCTCAACCTGCAAGAAGATTGTGGGTGGTGGGTGGTAGGCAAGCAGCTCCTTGCACAAGTTTGAATTTTCACAATTTCAAACTTGAAAATTACAGTTACTTGTGATCCCGTTCCTACCACATGGACTTTTGACACATGTCCACACCCGGCTGCCGGGAGGGTGGGAAATGCAGCATTCAGGTTCCTGCTTATCTTCTAGGGTAGGAGTGCTCGATGGCCACAGAAGGAGGGTGGGCACTGCCTGGACAGACGACAGACCGGCTGACCTGCGCAGCTTTCAGCCCAGAGCAGTCCCCACTGTGCCAGCCAGGTCCAGGTGAGGGTTCTATCTGCTTGCCCCTGCAGGCTGCCAGGCACAAGCAATGGACCTGGTCTTCCTGTTGGACGCCTCAGCCTCAGTGGGACCTGGGAACTTTGCTCAGATGCAGAGCTTCGTGAGGAGCTGTGCCCTGCAGTTTGACGTGAACCCTGACGTAATGCAGGTTGGGCTGGTGGTGTATGGCAGCCGGGTACAGACAGCCTTCGGGCTGGACGCCCACCTCACCCGTGCTGCCGTGCTGCGGGCCATGAGCCAGGCCCCCTACCTGGGGGGAGTGGGCTCAGCTGGCACGGCCTTACTGCACATCTATGACAAGGTGATGACTGTCCAGAGGGGCGCCCGGCCTGGTGTCCCTAAGGCAGTGGTGATGGTCACAGGTGGGAGGGGGGCAGAGGATGCAGTTGTCCCTGCCCAGAAGCTGAGAAACAACGGCATCGCGGTCCTGGTCGTGGGCGTGGGCCCAGTGCTGAGAGATGCACTGAGGAGGCTCGCTGGTCCTCGGGACTCCCTGATCCATGTAGCCGCTTACTCGGACCTGCAGTTCCACCAGGACATGCTCATCGAGTGGATATGTGGAGGTGAGAGACTCCGCAGCCTCCAGGGCTGTCCCCAAGACAGGACCCATGCATGAGCCTTCATGTGTACCCTTACGAGGGAAGCAGTTCCTGAGTGCTCACTTTCCATGTACCACCTTATGTACTCAATACCATGCTCCCATAAAGGCCCACGGTGGATGTACCCATCCCCATTTAACAGGTAGAGGGCGTCACCCGGATACCTCCTGTCAAACTTGCCATTTATGCGTTCTATTTAAAAGGGTGACATTTTTAGGAAACCCATACTCCCCCAATGCTGGTTAACACTGACCTAGGGAATGAATGACAGAGCTAGGAGCCAATAGGGAAGCCGACTCCATGGCTACACTTTATCAGTCGCTTTCTTTCCAAATGCTTTAAAAAAGTGTGACAGTAACACTAGCAGCAAACACTGCCATGTGCACAGCACGTGGTCTCCATTTCCCATAGGAAAGCTGTGTGAAGTTTGATCATCTTCAGCGAAGAGGATGAAGCACCAGCTGTGTGCCAGGCTGCTGCTTCAGGGTCACAGGACACACCGAGGGGTGGGACACTACTCCAGCGGCCTTGCATCTATTTCAACTAGATGTAGAGTAGGGGACTCTGGGTCTGCCCCAGGCTCAGCCTGGGGCACAGACACGTTTTCCATTGCAGTAGCCAAGCGGCCAGTCAACCTCTGCAAACCCAGCCCATGCATGAACGAGGGCACTTGTGTCCTGCGGCGTGGGAGCTACCGCTGCGAGTGCCGTGATGGCTGGGAGGGTCCCCACTGTGAGAACCGTGAGTGACGACTCCTGCTCGCCTGTGAGCTAAGGGTGGGACTCTAACTCCTGCCGAGTCTCATGAACTCAGCTGAAGGCAGGCTCTGCATTCCATCATTTCTTCATTCACCCAGGGAATGTTTAGGATTGTGTATATCCCAGGCTTTGTTCTAGGGAATATAGCAGCAAACAAAACAAAAATCTGCCCTCATGGAGCTTCCATTCTAGAGTGTAACAGACATTAAACCGGATAAGTATAATTATAGTGTGATGGATAGATGTAAGCACACTGGAAAACAACTAGGAGGGAGGCCTCAGTGAGGACCACAGTGAATCAGTAAGGGAGATGAAGATGGGGGAGTGGGCCCGGAGGCGGGGAGTGGGTAGATGCGATGGTGGGACCTGCTGGTCCTCTGCCGAGTGTTTGCCTAATGACATGGGAAGAACAGCCATCAGCTCAGACAGCGAGGACAGGTAGGAGGGGCTGGAATTTTAGGAGAGAAACAGCTCTTGGGAGAGAAGGGTGAGCTTCAAGGATATAGGGAATGAGAGTGCTGCACGGCATGAGGGGCCCACCTGTAGCTCCTGTTCCTGAGCTGAAAGATCAGCCAGGAATCAGAAGACAGCTGCAGCTAGAGCTTTGGGTTGTCAGTCCCCAGCACAGTCGACTCCTGAGGGTGCCGTACGAAGGGCTGTCAGGTGGGATCTGTGACCTGGTGTCTTCTGCTTGCAGGGGTGAGTGGGTAGGAGAAGGACAGGAAGGGGCCTGGGGGGGTACTGACAGGTTGAGGAGGGACTAGGACACTCACATCCTCAAAGTTCACATCCTTTTGCAGGGGTCTTGAGAGGAGACGCCCCCAAGGCGCGTGGCTCTCGCCAGGATCCTGCCTCAGGGCTGCACCCACATGGCTCCCAGCAGCTGCAGAGGCCTGGGCATCCTGCGAGCTGAAAGGGCCGTGCCTTTGGCATACCACATCTTCTGGGTCCGTGTGTGTCTGCTGCCCGCTCTGTGCACAGCCCTCCTTCCTACCAGCTTCCGCCAGGAACAGGCTGCAGTTCACCGTGCTTAGGACAACAGGAGCAGCTCATGTCACCTACTGACAGTGACGCGGAAAATGCTTCTTGCTGTGTGAGTACACACTTTCTGTACCTAGCTGTACCTTGTCGAGGATGTCGTCCGCCACTTTTCCCCTGAGGATACACAAGACACTGTGGAGAATTCTGATGGCTTGTGTGAGGTTCACTTTGCCAGGCAGAATTCTGTTGAGACAGAAAGCTCCAAAGGAAAGCATTTACCAGGCCATCATCTGGGCCACGGAAACAATGGTATCATTGCCAGATGGAGACGTATGGACGGTGTCACATCTCTAAAGGTCGCCAGCGTGCATTTACTTTTAATTTGGAAAGGGACTCATACGGCATTTGTGACTTTTGGTGACTGGGTCTGTGTGATGGAAAGACCTGGAAAGGTCTCAAAGTGCATTTGACCACTTGCCCTGTTTGGTTGGTGATGGGGGCGGGGCCAGGTATGCAGATGGCTCAGTCTGGAAGGGCCACATGTGACTGGTGTGGATGCTAGGCCCCAGCTCTTTGGCGGTGGGGAGTGGGGGGGTATTTTCCTTTTCAAAGTGTCTACTTGCGAGGGGCTAATTGTGAGTTCCTACTGAATATTTTTATCAGCTTTGAGTGGGGGCAAAGAGGAGTAGAATTCTTAAACCCAACAAATAAAGGATAAAGACACTTCTAGAGGCCTTTGTCTTTTTAAGCAGAGATGGTATGCTAATTCTTTTGTTTTTGCTTTGCTTTTTATGCCAAGTTTTTAAAGAAATCTTTTAAGAGATGTCAGTTATTTAGCAGAAATATTGGTGCATATGTGGCAAGAAAGATTGTTTAGAATATTTTCTGGACCCTAGTGTAAGGGTGAGATGGAGGTACTGTATCAGTTTTGTTCCCCTTGGTCACATTATTTAAAGTTAGGTTTTCATTAGAAGCCCTTGTGATGTTCTGACATAAATCTAGAGACTTTTATCATGTTTCTTTTTAATGGAAATATTTTAATTTGTTTTATATACAGATGTTGAAGGCTGTCTTGGTTTAAATGGCACTCAGCTTTAAGAAATTTGGGATTTCTGACACTAGAAAAGTACTTGAAGAGGGGTCACAGGTATCATTAGACAAAGTCTGGAGTCCCAATCACTGAGTCATGACAGTTATTTGTGTTTGAGGCATATTCGCATTCCTAATTTCATAGAAGGCAGCATTAGCACAGGTCCACATGCCCATCTAGGGGATGCTAGTCAGTGATACAGCAGAATTACGTGAATTCATTGTCTTTAATAGTAGCTCCATCATTTTATCATATAGCTCTTTGTTGTCTTCAGGGCTATTTGGATGCCTCGTTCGAAATACAGATTAAAGGGACTTTATGATTTGTTTTTAGGAGCAGGGGTTCCAGTCCTTAACACCTTTTTCTACCTTTTCTAGTAAAAGGCCAATGAACTAGATCGATGTCTCAGCAGTGACAGAGGGAATTCTTGTTGTCTTGCTTAACCAGCCAAACCTTTTTCTCTCATTTAAAATGGTATAGTGTAAGTTTTAGCTCTTATTAAGTGGTATGTTTTCACACAGAAACAAATGACAGGTCATAAATCTGCTTGTATTTTCTCTCAATGATCCTGATGCCATCCTTTGCTGAATACTCTAGTTCTAATGAGTTTCTTGCTCTCCTAGGGAAATATCATTCACAAACAGTCAGTTTTGTTTCTTCTTCCTGAAGCTGACTACTACTCTTACGTGGCTTTGTCTAGGGCCTCTGTAATAATGTTTTGGAAAGTAGTGGAAATAGCACAGCAATCCGTATCTGATTCCAGACTAAAGGGGCTTTTCAACATGATAATTTCTGTGGGTTTTCTGCGGGTCCCTTTATCAGGTTAAGAATGTTCATTCCTGTCCCTAGATGACTGTTTTTATAAGTGTTAAGATTGTTTTTTTACATTTAATCTCTTAATGTGATGAATTACATATTTGTATACTTCCTATCACTGAACCATTTTTAAATACTCTGGATAAACCCTATTTGGTCAGGATATATCATTTTTTAAACATTGCTGAATTTCTTTCATCTGTGTCTAAGAGTGAGATTCGGTCTTACTTTTGCAGTGCATATAGACCTTTTGATATCAGATCAATACTAAATAAACATTACCATAGAAAAATCCATACTTCTCAGTATTTTCTTATAATTTAAAAATCTTGCCAGAGGGGTGCAGGTATATCTTAGTGGCAGAGTAAGGGATTGTTTAAAGCCTGAGCTCCACTCCCAGTAACCCCAACACCCCAATACAAAGGTTTCTTTTCAATTCTGCTATTTCATAGAGCCTTAGGTTGCCTTTTTAATTGCATTATTCTTTTTCTCTTTTTTTTTTTTTCCTGGTACCGGGAATCGAACACATGACCTTGCGCTTGCCGCTGAGCTAAACCCCCAACCCCTGCATTATTCTTTTTAGTGTGCCAGATTTGGTTTTGTCAGTTTTTAAAATGAGTACCTTTATGGTATGAATGGCCTTAATTACTCCTTAAGCAGCCTCCCAAGTACTGGTATGTTTATATTTCCCAAAACTAGGAGTAGTGATTTCCAGGAGTACTGATTTTTAATTACCCACATATAGTCAGTTTCTGCAGATATTTCCTCCATACAGTGGTACCTCGGTTCACAAACTTAGTTTGTTCCATGGTTCTGGGAAGGATGGCCACAGTTGTGTTTGTCATCCCATGCAGAGTTTGCAAACAAAAGTGTTCATGCACCAAGGTACCACTGTATATATTTGGTACATTGCTGTATATTATATTAAAATCCTCTTCCAGATTTACCTAGGTTACTTGATTTAAGGAAGCCTAAAGTCTCTTGCTAAAAATCTCACCTTGCATATTTTGAAGTTTAGTATGCAAAGTTTGACACCTTGCCCCAAGTCATTCCATGAAATACAAGGGAAACCCCAAATACAAAGATAATTTTATTTAAAAAACAATCAGACCACTTGGTAAAGATCACCAAGTGTTTATGACATAGGAAATAAATGCCCTGGGATTAGAAAGACAATATGGATAAAAAAGACTTTTAGCTCTTAGGAACCACTCTTTGAGAACTCTGATTCAGAACCCCCTGAAATGTTTCAACCTGTGTTAACAAAGAATGCCATTGAGACAGTCGATATACAGAGTAGCACTGCCAGAGAAGAGGGAGGCCACCCTCATCAAAATTCACCTTTTTCTTTCAAGGGGACTAGAAATTAGAACTTCAAAACAAGAACTATGAGCACAATGTAGTAAATAACTCTTCCCTTAAAAATGGTCTGACCATAGGACTGCACTTGTAAACACAAGGTAATTTTTTTTTCTATAGTCATGTAAAAGTCAGTTAAATCTCAAAACACTTTTTCACTGTTTTGACATAATTTTAAATAATTTTTGTCTACATAATATAGCATCACTTACCATTTTATATAAAGGCAAGTTCATTGAGGCCTGCCGTGGAGTAGGAAGAAAAAACACCTTATTGGATCAGTGTCTCTCTTGGTCCCACATATTTCCCCTGGTATTGTTTCTACAAACTCAGGTTGCAGGTGGTTTTACACAGGTACTGCCACTGTTGTTTAAAATCATCACTAATACATATTGGAGAACATGAACTGGAAGGCAAGGATGGTTTAACGCCCAATACTGTGAGGTATTGGATGAGAGATGATAGGTGCTCAGTTCTTCTCAGTCAGCAAAGCCCCAGGGCCCTGATACTGTCTTTCATTGAAGTTTAAACTTCAGAAGCTTTTCACTACTTAAAAATCTGGATAAACCAATTGATGAAAACTTCAAAAAAGAAACAGAACATCTCTAAATACAAACAATGTCTTGTTTACAGCCAGTAAACTTAGGTCTCCAAAGAAGCCTTTTGTGTGGTGGTTGTAGTGTTCCCTCTGGTTTGGAAAAGGAACAGAGCTTCCTTATAGCCAAAGCTCTTCATTCAGAATACCCCAGTCCTTGCTTTTTTCTTCTAAACAGACTCACCCTTTCTCAGAGGTGCTGTTTTAAAGAAGACGTTACCGAAGCAGGATTGTCACCAAGGTCCACATTGACACAGTCTTTAGATGACACTTGTTTCCTAACTTGTTCCTTTCTTCTCCCATTCCTAGAGCACCATACAAATACCCACACCCCCACCCCCCAAAAAGATAGTTATTCTCTGTAGCAAGCTTATATACATACAAATATTTTAAGCACAGAAACAGGAATAAAGATGACCAAACTGTTGGAAACCCTGTGTATTCCTCTCTGCGTGGAGTACCTATTAAGGCAGTTCGAGGCTATGACACAGCAGCATGCTATAAGTGATTAGTGATGTCTGCCATGACGCTGAGGCAGTTGAGATTAAGGTGTGCAAATGGATTTAACAGTTTGCCACGAGTGTGTACCCCTTATCTCCAGCAAGCAGGCAGGACAGGGACAAAGAGCAGTGCTGTTAGCATAAGAAGAGGGGCCCCACCCTAGCAGTTCTTCTAGCCCTCAGGGAGAGTGGGGGTGACCACTTACCTTGGCTTTCTGGAGGACAGTGCCTTTGCCCGTGACCATGACTGAAAGAGGCCTATTCTTGAGTGCAGTGGCAGAGTTGACCGGGGTGCTCTCTAGGCTGGAGGTGGTGGCGGCCTTAGGCTGTGGTTACAGAGAGCAAGGGGTAGGTCCAGGGAAGGGTGACATGGCCCCTGTCTTCCCCCAACCTATGTCTAGAAGGCCCTGCCAACAGTCCCCCGCCTCAAGAGCCTCAGCTCTCACCACTCACACGGGGGCTCATATTGTCCAGGTGTGTAGTGTCCACTGTGGTGCCCAGTGTCACAGGTCCAGCCTCAGCCTTCTTCAGGTTGTCCTTCACCTCCATGATGTTGAGCTCAAGGTCCACACGCCTGCTCTCCTTGATCCGGCACTCCTCGTCAATTTCCTTCAGCTTCTGCTCCAGGATGGCCAGGACGCCTTTGTCTGGGAAGAGAATTAAATCTGGCTATGAAGAGAGCACCTCAATCAAGGCCAGGGAGCTGGGCCAGGTGCAGGTAGGGTTTATATACATCCCTGCTGGAGAAGGAGCCCAGGTCAATGTGAACCATAGATCTAGCTCAAGCACACACAACTGGGCCAAGCTTGTGTGCAGTCTTAAAGCCCAAGTCTTGTGTTTACACTGTGTACAGGCTGGAAGATTCCAGAGAGAAGTGCTCTGCTTTTACAGGAGGCCATGAGTATGAGGCCTAAATCTGTTCTGCAGAATTTTTAGAGGCTCTCAGTTCTGATATGTGTTTATTATAGCATCCAAAAGCCTGAGGACAGCTTCACCAGTGGCCCTTTGAGGAGGATGACTGGGGTCTTCTGACCTGGCCCACATAGCTCCTCTATACCCTACCACCCGGGGTCCTGAGCCCTGGGACTTTCTCAGCTCTGTTTTATGCATTTTCTCTTAACCCCAGGGTTGAGAAATGATGACCTATGGGTGTCCATCCTGGGAGTTCACTGCTGGAGGAAAGGATGGCAGCATGTATTCAATCCAGAGCTCCAAGCACAAGGCAACAGCCACCAAAACCCTCACGTGCAGTTCCTGAGCTTATGGTCAGTAGGCACCTGTCAGCCTTTGTCAGAGTGAGGGAGATGAAATTTTTTTAAAAAATAGGAAAGAGGCAAGAAAAATCATAACTTTAAAAATTGCAGCTTTGGTACACAGCCCAGTTTACCCCCCTTGCCGCAAGCTGGGACAATTTCCTGCAAATGAATTCATCCAGTCCTTTTCTGTTTTGTTTTTGCAAATGCCCTCTTTTACCCATGAGTAGACCACTTCTTTTCACCTGTAAAATAGGCTTTCTCCTAGACTGACAAATTCCACAGATTTCTACTGCCAAAAACACACACATATTCTCAATTCCAATCTGTAGATTGGATTCAAGATTCAAGAAAAATTCATAGAGAAAAGGAAAGTGGAAAACATATACTAATGATGTTCTGGGGCCTGAAGTTTTTTTAAAATACAGTTCACGCTTAGTGGTCAATATCATACTTTGATAATCATTTTCTTTTTGTCTATGACTTATGAACCTAAGATCCACAGGGCTCAACTTCCTGGAGAATAAAAACATAGTGAAAACTCTCTTCTCCTATCTGGAATATCTGCACAGGAGTAAAGGTGGGGAGCCCCTGGCCTCTAACTCACAGCCCTAGCTCAGTGCCTTGAGGGGGGTGGTTCAAAATGAGGCAAGAGATTAGGGTGTGCCCAGCCAGCTGGACAAGTGGGTGTGACCTGTCAGTGACAGATCCAGGACACATGCGCAGAAAACCATTCTCAAGCCCTGAGCTGGGGACCAGTCTGAAAGCACTATTTTCAGTTTTTCTGGTGTGAGATAAAGCAGATTTTTCATAGGATGATCTAGGTCTGAGGTTAGCCTGAGGAGTACGAGTACAAAGGACCGTGGCCATTAACTTTGTGGCCACTGCACTCTCTCAGTGGCCCACTCTGCAGTGCATCCTTCTTTTCCCACCTTTAAACAATGTTAAACCTCCCTACCTTTTGCATATGTCTTGACCAATTCTTTATTCAGGACAGGAAGAATCTGGAAAGAATCTCTGTAAGGACAGTACAGCACCCCCAGAGCCCCGGTGACACAAACACTGTCTCAGATGCGTCTCTGGTCACCTGCATCTGCTCACGTCCCAGCCCTGTAGTCTGGGCTGGCTGAAAGGAAGCCAAGCCGGTGTCTCCTTACCTCTGAGCCCTGACAATATCCAGAAATGTGGAAGCTCATAACTAGAAAACTCCCATCTACAAACAGTGCTTGCTCAGGGGTCGGAGAGCTGGGGGGAAATGAATTACTGCTAACAGATACAGATTTTCTTTGAGATTCAAAAATTGATTGCAGCGAAGTCAGCATCGCTCTGAATATACTGAAAACTACCAAGTGTACACTATAAATGGGTCAGTTGCATGATATGTGGATTAGAACTGAATAAAGGTGTTATTGAAGAGTGACTGTATCCTCAGACCTTTCTTCACCGATCCTATTATAAGCTTCCCAGAAATCAGCTGTGTTTGTCTGCAAACCTGCTCTGCCAGTTCTGCCTGTCAGTGCAACTCTGCAATTTAAATATTAAATGAGCGCAGAGCTCCTGTGTGAGCTCTAAATGAAATGCTTCAGAAGGGTTCTACGGAGGTAAGTTGCTAGGACACGGGTGGGATGACAGGAGAACAATTCGGAAAGCAACCTAGAAAGCCTCAGATTTCTCTGCAAGAGCCTTAAGATTAAGGGTGATGCCCTGAAGCCATGGTTAATGCCAGTTGGCTGCCATGGACGCCAGTCAGCTGTCCCAGATTTCAGAAAGCCCTAGCACTACATCAGAAGATTGGCCCTGGAAATATATTTTAAGTAGAAACCAAACATTTCAGGCCTAACCATATTTTTAAAGCCTGCCTACTTGCTAAGTATCTGCTAATTAGCCTAAGTCCCTGCTAGTCTATTGACATGGGTCAGAGCGTCCCTCTGTGCAGCATGGTGGCTTTGGGCAGGATCAGAGGGGAGGGGGCCTTGCCAAAGGTAAAGTTGCTTAGGCCCAGGGGACTGGAATCCCGACGGCAGATCCAGGTCCTTCCCCACAAAGCCCATCCATCCCCTGAACTGGGGGCCCTGCTCCTGGACATCTCCAGCAGAGGCCCCTTACCTGTGCATTTTAACAGAGTCTCTTTCAGCTCCCGCTTCTCCTTCCGGAGCTGAGCCAGGTGCCCTCTGATCTCTTCCTTCATCTTCTCAAGTCTTTCCTTTTCCTCTGTGTACCGCTTCACCTCGGCCTCTGTCCGATTCTTGCCAAGTTTGATCTCTATGGCCCAGAGAGGGGAGGCCCCAAGTCAGCCGGGCTGGATCCTCGGACCTGTCCCCAGCCCTACTCTCCAGGCTCAGACTAACCCAGGGCTTGGGCACAAGAGGAGAGTTGGAGTCAGCCCAGCCCAGCCCAGCCCAGCCCAGCCCAGCCCAGCAGGGATGGGAAAGGAAGGTGGGCCCATATGCCCTTTGCTGTGTGACCCTGCGCCTCTCAACCTCCGTTTCCTCATCTGAAAGGATGAGGGCTACTTGTCCAAGTCATGTGCAGAACATTCAGCTCCAGTAGGACAGGTACCTGCGCTGGTCACCCGCAGCCTGTCCTTCACAGGCGGGCTGGTGCTCGCCGGGGCAGCAGCCAAGATGTCCGGGCAGTTCGGCGGGAAGGAGATTCGCTGCTGCTCAGCCTGCAGTTTGACCGTGGTGATTCTCAGGGCAGGCTCCTCCGGCTCCTGACTTGCCAGCTGCCTCTGTGAGCGGGGAACAAACCCCACTCAGCCAGCCGGAGGGCAAGCGTGGTGGACAGCTCACCCACCGAGGGACCCCTGTACCTGCTCCCCCTGGCTCTCTGGAGACACTGTACAGAGGTCCTCCGGGGCTGGACCAGGGTCCGCAGGGAAGACCTTGGCCATGTCGTCCAGCTGTGGTGACACAGGGGAGGAGGCCCGGGCCTGCACACTGCTGGGGCCATGCAGGACGGGCTTGACTGGCGTGAGGTCCAGGTACAGTCTGTCAGGCTCATTCTCACTAAGGGCATCTGTGGAGGGCGTGGCTTCCTCGGCAGGTTCCACCTGCAGAAGAGGAAGTCAGGTCTGTGATCTCTACTCCCTTGACTGTGAATAGGGTACCCAGCCCTGTCTCGGATCTCCTGTCCCTACTTCTTGTCCCCCTGCCCAGGTGGGTCCTGAATGTACTACCTGAGAAGCAGAAGACCCAGGACATAGTACTCAACTTCCCTGACCCATATTTTCTCCTGTAAAGAGGAAACCAGTGATGTCTTCCTAGAGGTTGGTTAAGATGAGATACGTTTATCTATGATGTTCTTAGCAAATCAAGAGCTCAATGCTTAATGCCTAGTGCCAGGAATCAGCCATCAGTCTGGTCAGCTCCTCTCAGCCATCAGTGTGGCCCTCAAGAGCTAATGGTGTCCCTACTCTCAATCCCCACATCGCACCCTTCAATCCAACTCCGACCAAGGAGGTCAACCAGTTGCTTGCTCCAGATAGGTCCCCAAGCCACGCCAACAGCACAGCCCCAGGCATAAAAGATGAGCTTCCTGCACCAAGAGGCTTGCTGTACCAATAGGTGATTGGAATCTACTCCTCTTGGGGATGATCTGACCATCTCTGGCATGGAGGTTTGGCAGGAGGTGGACAGGACAGCTGCAAGGTGCTGCCCACAGAATCCTTACCGCTGGTGTCAGCTCTGACATCTCCACATCATCATAGAGCTCCTCCTGGCGGGCCTGGCTGGGCAGGCCGTCGATGTAAGTGTTGGGCTCTGAGAACTTTCTCTGCATCAGCCTGGAAGACATGGCCAGAGTCAGCTGTGTGAAGCTTCCTTACAGGGTGGTGGCCATGCCAGCCTCAGAGGAATCCTCACAGGTGGCTGCACCAGCCTCACAGCTGCACAAGAGTCTGGGGACAATGTCTGCCCCCATGTGTTTGAGGGCTTCTCCTCCTTGTATTCCCTATAAATCTTCTTCCTAGAACTTTGAGCCCAGATTCTTCTCCCACAGCAAACTCCCCTGCCTCATACAGCCCTCTTCCTTCAGCATCCTCTGGTGACCTTCTCTCTGGGGCTCCTCCCTTTTGGAATCTCCTTCTTCCTGACAACACCCAGGGTAACACAGACCAGACCCCACCCCCATTCTGTGCTTAAGAAAATGGATTCTACTCAGCTTCCACCTGTACTGACTGTAGCTCCCCATGCTGGGTACACCTCTCCCAGAGCACCAGACTGCACATCTGGAAAGCAAAAGTGCCCCTTTGTGCCCTGCTTATTTCAGATGTGCTATGCACCCAGTGAGGGACCCAAGAAAAGTGCTGAATCAACAAGAAGATCAGCAAAGGTGCCCACTCTGCCCTAGGGAGCTGGAGCGAGTCCAACCAGAGCTGCAGCTGCTCCTGGGACCCAGGACCTGGCTCGGCCCTCCACAAGGGCTGCTCCTTGACTGCGGACTCTGCACCTTCCTGTTGCTGGATGCAGTAGGGCTGAGCCCTGTGCTCAGTGGCCATCTGATCCAGGTGCCCACCACAGGCCGGGCCAGGCCAGGGTCTAGGAGCAGGGCTGGAGCTTTGAGAGTACCCAGTGCAAAGCCCCATTATACTCACAGCAAAGAGTTTTTGGCCGCGTTAACAATACAGGAAACCCGCTCAGCATCTACATAGTCGTAGGTGAACTCTTCTGGGTCTGTCTTGGAGCCTGACTCAGACAGCAGGAGGCCTAGCCAATGGCCCATCTCTTCGGAAGACTTGGCCTGGAAGGAGGCCAAGGGAGACCTGAGCAGGGCCAATGCGTGACACTTGGGGGCAGTCCCAAGCCACCAGGTGTGCCAGTCCCACTGCCCAGTCCCAGTCCCCAGGGTCAGCCTTCCCAGACTGCCTGGGCCTGGCCCCCTCATTGTGAACATCATGGCCTACCCCGAGGAGTCCCCTATAGCACTGCCTGTTGGTGACCTCTTAATACTCCCTTAATGGTGTCCTGGTCACTTGGGATGTATGGACCTGTGTTTCTAAAAGGTGATAACTACTGCCACAAGGTCACAGATACTAAAAATTGTTGATAGTTATCACCTGTTAAGAGTTGTTAAAGTATTATATGCTTGTAGGTTGACACCTCTCTCATCAACGATCTCAGTTTATCACCCTAATCCACCCACACCTACGAGACCACCTGGGTTCTCAGAAACAACAACAAATTTACTTTTGTTTACAACTTCAATAGAGTCAAGGTGTTATAAAGATTTTGTACCATGTCAAATAGCTCTGCTAAATTAACAAATCCCAGTGAATTTGACCTTTTCCCCCCTCAGAGGCAAAATATTCTAATCAAATGCATGCACTGGATGCTTCTGTTAAAATGCCAATATTGTTTCTTGCTTTTATCATGAAAAAAGGGAATTCCATAAAACCCATAGGTTTATCTTCATGAGGAAAACCAGCTCCCCTCTGGCAATATACCTCACAGCTCTGCCACCCTTATTATTTTCCCTCAGTGAGATGAATCGGACATTTTGGTGGTTTGCTTTTTGCATTTATTTTCATCTGGATTTCTCAGTGCCACTTCACAGGGCATCCATTCCTGGGTTCAGGCCACCACCATCTCTGCTCTGGGTAACAGTGGCAGCTTCTTGACAGGTCTCCTTTTGTCCCTTTTGTCTCCTTTCCATCCACCCCTAACCCCAAACTGGAGGAAGCATCCTAAACCCCAAATCTGACCCTGCCACTTACCTGGACACCCTGCACAGGTGCCCCTGTCCCTAGGATGAAGCCCTGTCCCACCCAGCCTCGTCATATGCCACTCCCAGTAAACTCAGCACCTTCCCCTCCATCCCAGAACTGTAACTAAGCAATAATTGGGTCCTCAGCCAAATATCATCACACTCTCAAACTAAAATGCAAATTCCTTGAGGACAGGGAGCATCTTTCCTGTCTACCAGACTGTGGCTCTGAGCAGATAGGTTATTTGCCAAGTTGGCGGTGAACCCAAGTTTTTGTGGGCTAGGAATTGTGGGATGGACATTTTCGCCACCAGAGGGCAGTACTGGAGTAACATTTGCAGGAAGACCCCTTGCTAAAGGACTGCAGGAATGGGAGTTAATGGACAAGTGTGTGTGCAAAGAACTTGGGCTCTGCTTTGGGGCTCACTGCAAAGCACTGTGTCACCTTTTATTTTTGTAAATGTCACATAATATCAGAGGGTGGCGAGTTGGAGAAAAGCAGTTGTATCACAAAGCTACCCGCCCCCCAGTAAACTGTGACCGTGGTCATTTTTATGTGCTGGGCTTCAAGGCTTTACTGGCTGTTGACACATACTCTAAATAGCACCTTTTTAATTCCCAGAAGCACTGTAACAGCTCTGGGCGTTATAAACACTTGGCCTGCTTTAAGTACAGGAAGTAGCTTTTGGTCCCACACTTACAACAAAACTACCCCAAGGTCAGAACAGAAATGGACACTTTAAAAAATGTAAACGATCACAGGCAAAAGAAGTAACATAACACGCAGCTGCAGAGGTCTTCCCTCAGTAGGATTTGGCCCTTGAGACCCATAGCTATCAGCTGTGATCCCCACGCCCGCTGTCCCTGCTGCCTGCCTGCGGGTCAGCCGTACCTCGAGCTTGGCCAGCTCCTCGCCATTGTGGAGGATGCGGAAGGAGTAGAGGTGGTCAGGGCTTGGGTCTGGGACCACTTCACAGCCCACCAGGCTGAGCGGCTGCTGGGCCACCTTGCTGCGGTTCCGGTCCTGGTAGAAGTGTAGGTGACTGTCCCTGACGGAGCACCAGCGTGACTTCCACTGGCTGTTCACCAGCACGTTCAGGTAACCTGCCGAGGGACACGGAGATGCAGGGAGATGAGGCTGCAGAAGAGGAGACCATGGGGTGGCGTGGGGACAGCGGGACGACATCTGTAGGAACGGACCCGGCTGAAGGCGGGGCTGGGTCGCCAAGGGTGTCAGGGGCTGGCATGGCCGCTGGGCCTCCTGAGAGCCTCCCTGCACCAGTTAGAACATTTCAGGCTCTCGACTAAGGCAGGCTGAGGATCTCAACAGTGTACTTCTTCCTCATGGAAGCAGCTAGGCCAGTAGTGGCTATTTGTTATCACTGAAAGCTCTAAAAGCTTCGCCACCACTGGACTAGACCCTTCACTGGGCAGGAAATGCCTGGAACTGTCTCCTGGCTGCCGGTGCAGCCTTAGCCCCCTGAGCTCCCCGACAGTCTTATCACCCCTGGGCTGTCCCACCCAAGCCCACAGCACCCAGCTTCCTGTCTGCTGGTGCAGCTGCCCCAGGCCCTCCTCAGTCCAGGCTTCTTGCTCTGCCTTACATCAGATCACCTGGCTTCTGGTACAATGAATCTTTCTGCTTCCATTCCAGCCTTCTGGGTCGGACACACTTGCTTCTCAAGGGCAGGAACTGCACCAGGTCCCGTCTAATGCCCAAGGTCTGTGTCTGCGTCCTCTCCGCCAGGGACTCCCACTGCTTGCCTCTAAGGGACAGCACTGGCTGCTCCACCAGGACTTGTGTCATCCTTTCTAGCCTCAAATGGGTGCATGTACTGTGGCAGCTTCCCAAGGACAGAACAAGCCTTTCCCCCGTCAGATAAATGTTTACTGAGCTGACACAACACACCTTATCCTTGACAAAGATGAGCAAAAGCCAACTCAGTGCCCCCTGCATACCCGCCTGCGGGGGGTTGACATCTGTGCTCATTTCCCCAGATGCACTAGCTTACAGCGTGGCACCTGCTCCACGCTAAGGAGCTGACAGCTGCTCTGAACCCCTGCTGGGTGAACCAGGGAGTAGGGTGTAAGTGCACAGCCACCTTCCCGCCCTGTCCAGCGCTGGGCACACAGAGGGGGACCATGACTATCTCTGAGCCATATTAACATCACATCATGGCCGCCAAGTGGAGGATGAGAGACCAGAACCTGAACTCAACACCTAGGCAGACGCCGCATGAGAAATGGGAGTCCAGCCCTTAAGCACCCAAGACCCAGGAAGGAGCACTGTGCTCTTTCTGTCCTGCCCCAGCGGCCAAGCAGACTTCCAGCTATAACTCAGTCATATCTCACAGACGCGTGGGGACCATGCAGGCCCCCAGGCTGTGAAGCATACCTTCTGATGCTGCAGGCACAGGCAGAGCTGGGCTACTTCCGGCCCTACTGGGAGAAGGAGGAGGATCCACAGGATATCTTACAGGCTGCCTTCCTATTCCACCGCACCGCCCTGCTGGCCACAAGCAACTAGAGAACTTACTTGGGACTCAGGAAAGAGCGCAGGGATGAAACATGGTGCTGTCAGGCAGGGGAACCGGCTAAAGGTGGGCAATAATGGCGCTTAGGCCCCAGGGAGAGCTGCGGCCGCCAGCCCCACCTTACCAGCTGCCTCACTCCAGGGCACTTCCCAGGCCAGGCCCATCTCCTCTCCTGACCTCAGTTTCCATGAGTCTGGGTGAGGGCAGTGGAGAAGACCTCTAAGAAACGACCAGCACCCCACACACTCTGTGAACCACACACAGAGGTTTCTTATTGTCTCTGTCATAGGTCTGGCCCATCCCCACCCCAGGCTTGGCTCCTACCCAAGGCTCCAGCCTGCTCAGCTCCCACCCACCTTTCAAGGCTCAAGTCCACCAAGCCATGTCTGAGCCCCCAGCAGGAAAGGCTGGTCATTGCTCAGTCCTGATAGCTACGGACATGGCCCAGTGTGTACTTAGGGTATAAAGCGATTCTGAGTCTCGGGTTTCCAGCGGCCTGCCCACCTCATCCTAACACTGCCTGCCACACCCTACAAACACAGACCAAACAAACAGCATTTTAAAAAGAACACTAGGAGGGCTGGGCATGGTGGTGCATGCCTATAATCCCAGCACTCTAGCAGGCTGAGGCAGGAAGATTGCAAGTGCAAATTTAACCTGGGCAATTTAGTGAGACTCTGTCTCAAGATAAAAAAAAAATTTAAAAGGGCTGGGGATGCAGCTCTGTGCAGAAGCACGCACGTGAGTACACGCACACATCATACATTAGGAAAATACTAATCTGTTACCCTAGTCCCACCAAGGATCCAACACTGTAGGAAGACAGAGTGCAGCTCTGCATAAAAAAACTACTGCCCTAATGACAAACTGGACCCAGAAGCTGCACACTCGCATTCCCAGGGGAGATTAAAACCAGCCCAGACATCCTCTGCCTGGGCCACCCTGGCCTGCCTGCCCGGAGACAGGCTCCAGCCCAGGGAACGAGCCCTGGGTCCCAGAAGAGATGCCAGTCCTTACTGGAGGTCTCGAGGGGCCGCTCTGAAGGTTCCAGCGAGGTGGATTTCTTCCTGCCCAAGTTCATCAGGTTGCTCAGCTTGAGGCCGGCAGAACACTTCTTCTTGACTGTCAAGACAAGAGGGCGCCATCAGCATGCACAGCCCAGCCGCGTGCAAATTCACCCCCACTCTATCCACCAGGCCTCCCCCTACACCCTTGTGCATGCACACACACACACAGCTGCTCCCCAAACCAGGATCTGAAGGACCAAGTCAGCTGTCTCCAAAGGCACACTCCCAAGGGGGTGCACCAACTGCTCGCAATAGGTGAGCCCTTGAGGATCTTTATGAACTCTGCTGGCGAGGTGGGGTTTGAAATAGGACTGGCAGACACGAAGAGATATAAGAATCTTCTCTCCCCAGCCTTTCATAAAGCTTAACTTCGCTTTGGCTGTTGCGCCCTTTCTCCGGGATCCCAGCAGTTTCTAAGTTGGACCATGTTAGAATCAGCTGCTAAAACCCAGACAGCTAAGGCTCACCCTTACCCTCCCAGTCATGGGGCTGAGAGCCCAACCGGCCTTACCATCCTTGGTTTCGGGGACCTCAGGATGGCCATCCACGGAGCTCCCATACTCAGAGGCTGACAGGTACTTCTCAGCTATATCTGGCTGTAGGCAAAAGAGATACAGGTGTGGAGCACAGCTGGAAATGGTTACCTTGGAGACTACAATTTAAGGGAAAATAGGCAGCTGCTGCGTGTAGGCCAAAGGTCACCTGACCAAAGCATCAAAGCAGGAACCCAGGTCACTGGTAGGGCACTGGCCAAGCTTCCCTCTCTAAAGAAACTGCCTTCACTTGCTTCCTGAGGTCCCTCAGCTCTGTCCCCTGCCCCACTGCAGAGCACCTACTCTGTCTTCAAGCCATCACACATGCTGTTCCCCAAATCTCTGTCCAATCCGATGTGACAGTGGCCCCAGAGCCGGTGGCAAGGGCAGGAGCCCCGGGGTGGCATTAGAGTTGGCATCCCCTCCAAATGAGGAAATCTTTTGAGACCTGGCGACACTAGCAAGATGTGGGGCTTCAGAGATGGGCTGGCATCTGCACAGGGTCGGACGGGAATACAAGCCCAGCTTGAGGTCCACAGCCAGGCCCCTCAGTGACCGAGTCAAAGGACCCTTCCTGAGCCTCGCTCGGCATGTGGGTCAAGTGGTCCCAGTCTGCATCAGCGGGACTGGTGGGGATGAGGGACGATCCCTGGGAGAGCACAGCTGCCACCGCTGGCTGGTTGAGGGTTGACTATGAAGTGCTTCGAATGCTCCGGTCAAGCTCCTGCCCGCTCCAACTGCCAGAAAGCAGGCTGCCAGGCCCCGACCACCAGGTCAGCCTGAGGCAGCGCGCTGGGGACGCGGACCCCAGCCAGGGGAAGGCAGGGGCTCTGTCTGCAGAGAGGCTCCCACTCCTCGCCCCAGCAGGAAGAAAACCCAGATTCACTCTGACTTGTTTTCCTGTCAGTGACCAAGGAATGAGCGAGACCGTGAAAACACCAGCCCTGAGGGTCACCCAGGCAGGGCTGTGGGCCTTTCCGCAGGTGGCCTGCGCCTGGCCAGATAACAAAGGGCCCCGCCCTTCTCCAGCCCCCTGCACGCCTCCTTGCTGTCCAGACTGCCAGGGCTGGACCCCCAAATGAGACAGTGTATCCCCTTGGGCACGCTGCACGCCCTGGCTTCAGAGGACTCACCCGCTGACACTCGGGGACGTGAAGGGTGACCTCCCAGCAGACAGCCTTCCCCTGCAGCACCCACACCAACTCTGGGCCCCAGAGTTCCATACAGATGACCTCTGGAGCCCTTGCTGGGGGTCAGCATGGAGATCATGCCCTCCAGCGGCTGCTCAGGCAAACAGCAGAAAGCAAGAACCTCAGGAAATAAATCTCCCAGCTGAAGACCCTTGGGCAGAGTGACTGCGGCTCTGTATCCCCTTCATCCATTTTCCCGACAGGCTAATTAAAATTACTGCCCTTTCCCAAGCATGGCATGTTTCCTATTGACTGGGCTGAAATACCAAAACAAAGCTCCCAATTTTACACTTTTGATTTTTATGGAGCAAAAACACAATCGGATCCTCCTGCCCCTCCCGGCAGGGCAGAGCCTTACTTTCTGACAGTTCAGGCGCTGGGCTTCTGGGGTGTACTGGTTTCCCTCACACGGTCCTTCGGAAGACAGCCCGCTCACCTCCTGGATGACCTGGAGCAAAAAGAATGGTGTCAGCAGGGGCCAAGGTCCCCACGGCCGCTACCAAGAGGCGGCTCTGGGGGTTGCAGGCCGGGGGTGGAGGTGAGGGAGAAGATGCACAACTGCCAAGGTACCGAGGAGACCCCTGCCCCGGCTCGCCCACAGGTGGTCTCAGGACAGGCGGAGCAGGCAGCGGTGGGGAGGGCTGGCTGCTCAGGCCTTTCCCGCAGGCCCCATGGGCTCTGGGGGCGAGCAGGGCCTCTGCAGCACAGCCGCGACCGCCCTGGCCCCCACCGTGCAGGCACGGGTGTTGGTCTGTCGTGGGTGCCATGAACAGCTGTATTTGCTGGATGGTCCCTGGCTTTTGGGGGCCACGGGCTCACACTGCAGCTTGCATGCTGCTTGGGAGAGAGCAGGCCTGCAAACTGCACTGATCTGATAGGTGTTCTCAGGCTATCTCCTGCCACTGCCCCTGTCCTCCCAGGATGGGCCTGGCGTGGTGCGCGCTTCACTCTGCAGCAATGCACCTGGGCCCTGTCTGAGCCCGGGGTCACCTTGGGGATTCCCAGTGGGGAATGACCCAGGCAGACACAACACACACACACACACACACACACACACACACACCCTGGGCATCAGAAGCCCTCTGCAGGTAAAGAATCATAAGAGCAGTTTCAAGGACCCTCTTGTAGCCTCTCTCACAGCAGTTTGTGGAAATGGGCTCAAAATCAGAAGAGCCAAAGCAAGCAGGAAGAAGCACTATGGCGCACTGCTCTCTTCTTAGATGGGCTCCCGTTAGGGCTTTGGCTCACACAAAGTGTAACGTGGTATCACAGAAAGAGGGCAGGGGCTGGAGTCACTGGGGTAGCTGTGTGACCTTGAGCCTGAGCCTCTGTCGCAGGATCTATAGAATGGGACCATAGCTCTGGGCTGGCTGTGAGGACTCAGGTGTCAAGAACCCAGCACAAGACAGGTGCGGGGGCACACATCTATAATCTCAGTACTTGGGAGGCTGAGGCAGGAGGATTATCATGAGGTCAAGGCCAGCCTGAACTACACAGCAAGACTGTCTCAGGGAAATAAAAAGCAGAAAAGAAACCAGCACAGAGTGGCTCTGTTCTTCCCTGTCTTCATTAGTGTGGACCCACTAGGGGCAGCACCACTAAGCCTGGATGAGCGTGGGGGTTCCTGCTTCTCTAGAAGGTTCTGCTGTCTGCCTTCCTTTCCTGACACTCTCATCCCATACTTAGCACTTCCCACTAACTGCCATATCCCTGCTGCAACCTGGACGCAGGTGTGATTACAAGAACCGGAGACAGAGGCCCAGGGAAGGTGGACAGGCTTGGCAAAACCCACGGAGCTCACGCAGAGCAAGCCCCTCGGGCAGGCTGGACTGCAGGAACCCACCACACTGCAGGAGCGGAAGCAGCTCGGAGCCTGGCACGCAGAGCCAAACCACCTCTGTGCCCATCTGACCAGGGAGGAAAAGGCTCTCGGTGAAGACCAGACACACACAGGCAGGACCTTCTGAAAGTGCTCTTGTCTTTGAAGCCACCAGCAGGGACGGTGGCGGACAGAAAGAGGGGGTGAGAGTTTGTGGGGGGAAGCTGGGGGCCACAGGGAGGATGGGTGTGTCGGGGAGGTCAGAGGGACAGCTCTGGGCACTGGAGCAAAAGCAGTGTGTGTGTGTTTGGGCACACACAGGCACACACACGTGTTTATAGAGTGGATAAGGATGAGAGGGCTGGCACGTGCCTAGGGGACACTTAGGCTCCGGGCCTCTGGGGTCTTACCTCTCGGCAGGGTTTCCCACACTCAGTGTATATCCGGCACCGTGCTGAGCACTTAGCACACATTAAGGGACCCAACCAATATCGCATGGCTAAAAGTGGGTGAGGCCAGGATTTGAAACTAGAGCCGCTGCTCTACAATGCCAGGCCTTCCAGAGCCAGCAAGCCCAGGAACCCACAGAACCACAACCCCGTCTGTGCGGCAGCCCCTCCCATCCTGGATGGCTGGCTTTAACCACCTGAAAACTTTGCAGTAAGGACTGAGGTACCTGCCAGCTTCTTCTAGAAGCTTGGCTTGGCCAGAGTTCTCAAAACATTTAGTGGTTTCAGAGAAACAGCGCCCCTGCTCACAATCCAGGGTACTCAGAACTTGGGCCTTGGGGTGGCCAGGACCTCGCTAGGTGCCAGTTAGTCACATTTTATTTTAATTAATTAATTTGTCTTTTTTTTTTGAGACAGGGTCTTGCTATGCAGTCCAGGCTGGCCTCAAACTCATAATGATCCTCCTGCCTCAGCCTCCCGAGTGCTAGGACTATAGCACACCTGGCTAGTCACATTTTAATAAGTGGCCTAGGTCTGTTTCTGAGAAGCTTGCCGTGGGGTTATGTTTAGCCAGTGCGGCAGGCAGGCACAGATAGGATACTGGAAATATGTCCACGTGGCCATGACGGCAGAGTGGGCAGCTGGAAGGAGGGAGGGGGTGGTTCTGTCCCACTGGCCTCGCTGGGGGCCCTGCTGGGGTTCATGACCCCTCTGGAACTGTGGGTCCCTTCCGGGTGCAGAGGGCTACCTTCTGAACTGTCAAAGTCATCTTTAACGTGGGCAAGGCCAGCCCCTCCCCAGGATCTCAGGGTGCCCTCACATACCTGGGGTCAGGGACAGCAGAGCATTTCTGGAAGCAGAAAACTCAGCACTGTGGTCAGACAGCCTGAGATCTCAAGTCCAGGGCTACCAGTCACTTGTAAGGTGAGCTGGATCAGTCACCTCTGCCCTCCGAGCCTTAAACGCCACTCCTATGACATTCGAGCAGTAACACGGCCCAGCCACCCCAGGTTAAGCCTGCTAAAACCCACAGTCCCTGGCAAATTCTTCACAGACGGGAGGGACGTCTATTCTTTAATGAGGAAGCAGATGATCCCTTACTAGAGGCAAAAAGGCAAGTGGTTTCAAGGACACACCAAGGCCTGGGTTCAGACTAAGGAGCAGTGTGTGGGACTTGTTTCCATAACACCACCAGGAACACATGGTAACCAACCCTCCAGCCTGTACAAAAAGCCGTGAGCTGGAAGTCAGGCCCGGAAGAGGTGGCCTGGGGCTTCCCTCACCCGGAGCCACTGCTCGGCTTGGTCCCGGCTCTGCAGGCCCAGCACGATCACATCTGCATTCATGGGCATGATCTTCAGCTTGTGCTCCTGTTTCCGCACTTGCTTCTCCTTGTGGACGACGCTGCTGCCCAGCAAGTTCACATCCAGCTGAGGGCTGTGGTCCTTGGAGGATTTGTAGCACTGCAGAAGAGAAAAGATGCCTCTGGGCCGGGGGTGGGGGAGTGGGGTGGGTGGGCTTAGCTGCATTCTGCAAAAGAAGGACCCTTGAACACCGAGAGATCCCCTGAGAGCCTAACTTCACCCCAAAACCAGAAGGCTGGACACCGCAAGGCAGGCCTTAACCTCAAGTATGAGCCACTCTCATCCCAGCATCAGACTGCCTTCCTCTCCTCGGCCAGAGATGCCCCAGGTCTGGCTCATCCCAGTGCCTTAAACTCACTCTGGCACTCGGGCAGGAAGTTCCTTAAATACAGTCGTGAGCTACTTAATGAAATCTCTGTCAACAACTGGCTGCAGTGATGGCCAGTCGTCCCCTAAGATGCGGCAGCTAATGATGAAGCTGTTTTAGATTAAATACACACTTTGATGTTCACACAGCCACTGGATGCGCTAAGGGTATATTTCTCCAAACGCCCCCGTTCTTAAGCAGTGCGTGACTGTACGTTCCCTGAAGACAACTCTCATCCCTCCAAGGGGGAACAAACTTCTAACGTTTCTCCACCTCTCTTCTCAGCAGGGGATCCCTCAGGCACAAAAACCAAGCCTATTATCTGCTGGGTCAGCAAGGAGAAAAAGGGACCTTCTTCCTCTACCAGAGAAAGACTCAGCCCTTCTTTTACTCATTGTAAAATGGGGGTCCCTAGGAGGCTGCTCGATAGGATCATGACAGCATAAATAACATTTGTAAAGAACAGGGCACACTGCGATCAAAGGAGGAGAGGTATTTATTTATAATAATTCCAGGGAACTTCAAGTCAGGACATAAAACTAAGATAAATTTTTTTTTGATACAAGGTCTCATTATGTTACCCAGGCTGACTTCAAATTCCTGGGCTGGAGTGATTCTCCTGCCTCAGTTTCTTAAGTAGCTTGGACTACAGGTGTGTACCACTGCTGGTATGTCCGATTAAAACTGTGAAATTTAATTTAAAATAACAGGGAATAGGACTGTTATCAGAGTAAAATCTCTGGGTCCTTTATGGATCTTGAATTAGAATTAGTTGTCTAAAGTAGTTTCTAAGAAGATCTCTAAAGTTCATGCACGGCTTAGACCAAAGCAACAGCTAGAGTTTTATGTCCTGACTTGAAGTTCCATGGGGGTTGGGCTGTATGAGCTGCTGGGCTCTGCTATTTGAAGTGAAGAAGGACCTGGGGACAGAAAGACGTTTCTCTCTCAAAGCAAGGTGCCTGGGGCCCTTTGCAAGGCTGATGAAAATTACTAGATCGCTTTAGTTCAGAGAAAAAGCACATTTGTCCACACACAAAATTCTGCACACACTTTTAGGTCAGGGAAAGGTTTCAATCTCCTGACATCAGAAGGCTTTACATGTTGGAAATCCCACTGGGGAGTGTTCCCCGCCCCCAAACCACCCCCAGGAAGAGAAGATGGGGACTGACCAGGAGCCTGGTGTCCCTGATCACGCACAGTTGCTTGGCCCACTGGCCCAGCCACTTCTTGCGCCACAGGAAAGCACAGATGCGGGCGTCACGCATTAGCTCGATGCTGGCCTCGGGGGAGGGCCACTGGTAGGGGGCGGACTTGCCCTTGCTGTTCTCCTCTTCATCGTAGGACTCGTAAGAACTGCTCACGGCCTCTCCATCCTCTGCAAAGGAGACGCACTCAGTCAGGGCCCCAGGGCAGGGGCCATCCCTAAGCCAGCAGTACTGAGGAGGACAGCAGGCAACAGGCACGAGCAACCAATGGCCCCAGGCCACCACCCACCTGTCCCTCATGCCCTAAAAACTGCCACCAGCCCGATGCCACAGCTGGCTTTCCAGCCCCAAGCCTCCCTCAAGAAGCTTCTCGGCGGCTGCCTCAGAACACAAAACACACATGACTTAAAACTAGAAGTTCCGCTCTTTCCTTCCTCAAGTCCTACCTTCTGCACTTTGGGACACCCCTGAGATGCTGCCGCCCCGAGCAACCACTGTGTGCTCCCCAGAAGCTGGGTCTCCCCCCTGGCCTCTGGCTCCTCCCGTAGAAAGCATGCTGGTGGGCAGCGATGTCTCCAGGTCCTCTCAGTCTGGCACTCGACTCTTCTCAGGGGACAGAGGAAGATGACCCCCAGCTACGGGCTTTGAAGGTCCTTAGCAGCCACCAGGCTGACCCTGGTTCTGTCCCAGCTTGGGGAAAGGGACTGTGGCTCCTCAGATAGAAAAGGCCACATCAACCTCGGCAGGAAATAGCTTTCTGGGGAGACAGCCATGTCCCACTCCTGCGTATCTCCTGCTGGTCAGAGCCCTGCTAAAGAAATCCCTGCTGGACACCCCCAGGACAAGGTGAGCGCCTTTTCCTCCTTCCTAACTCACACCCTTCTAGTCCTGCTGGTAATGAGCCACTTCGGGTTTCTGTCATTTGAAAGACTCCCCAAACTTACCGCAGCACAAACTGAACCGTTCTACGCATGCACCACCTGCCTCAGTTTCTACTTTCTGCCCCTCCTGCCCTCAAGAGCAGTTCCCCTTCTCCAGGCCTCTTTGCTGTAGTCAAGGCCACCAAAATCTATGAGAAGTGAGGCGACCCTGCGTGGTTCATGGAGAATTCTGATTCCTGCCCAGCCTGCTCTGTGTGATACACGGATGCTAACCGAGAAGTAACTGCCAGTTGTCATACCTGGAGCAGCTTGAAGAACATGTAGGACAAACGTATTAACAATGTCACTTATCCCTAAGAAGGACCATAGCTGCTGATCACCATAAATGTAGGACTTTCTTAAAGTAGATTTTTGGCTTCCAGGGGATGCAGAGTGAGCGGAAATGAAAGACAGATAGTTCTAGCAGCACCACATCCCACTATGTCCCAAGGAAAGTGCTCAGCAACCTAAAGCAGAACCACCATGCATACTCCGATTTCCTGATGCCACACGCAGGTGCGGTAGGAGGGGAACAGTCACTCGCTGGGCAGGATGGCCCGTGTGCACACATGCAGGGTGCATGCATGAGGACATGCCCATCTCGGCGAGTCAGGCAGCAGACACGGAATCACTGGCATTCCAGCTCTGGGGACAAGCAGTACCCAAGGTGATCGTGGCATAAATGACTCCTTCAGGCACCTGCACCCATCTAGGGACACTGGCAGGGAGCGATCCACCACAATGACCTGCATGGTATCCAGAAGTACAGACAAAGGCAAGAAGAGAGGGACAGGTGAAGATCGGGACGCATCCAAGTGTAGAGACCCAGATGTGGCAGCGTGGTCCTGTCCCTCAGAGGTCAGTGCTCGCCATTCAGGTGTGAGTTGTGAGGAGAGACCATAGCCTAACTAAGGATATCATTCCCCAGGCCCTTTGATATCCAGAGGTGACAAGGTGACTTGTCACTAGTGGAATGTATGCATAGCAATCTGCCTTTACTTCTGGCCAGTATTTTTAAGAAGCAGACAGGGGTCCTGTGCTCTCTCTTGTTCAGAGAATTCTGTGGCTCACAATGGCGGCCAAGCCAAACATGGAAGGAGCCTGGTACCTAAACTACGCAGAACCAGAAATACCACATGGAACTGCTGAGTGAGAAGGGGTTTTTACTGTCACTGTAAACTGACACTGGGGAGTTACCTGTTCCAACGGCTGCCATCCCCAGCATGGGACACCAGGAACAATGATGTCTGGGAAACAGCAGAAACCTGCTCGCCTCCAGCACTCATTAAACACTGGCTCCGAGAGAGGACTCGGACCCAGTGGTGCAGTGCGCAGACACTGCTGATAAACTAGGACAAGAATCCTGGCAGCTGGCCTTTTGCAGGAAGTCAGCAAAATTGCTGCTGACCATTCAGTTAGAGCAGAGTGCTAGAGCCCAGGAACTCCTTCCTTCTGGTGGAACCTGCACCTCTGCACCTCTTCCTGCTTGAGCAGAAAGTGAGGACAGGCCAGCTTGTCATGCAAGGGAAGTGCTCCTCTGTAATACGTGGGCTACTTCTCCTCAAGTCGACCCAACAGGCAATTTTCCCACCTACCGCTATGGTTCCCGCAGCTGGATTTCCTCCACTCGGAGCTCTCTGACCCAGTCCATATGGTGCATCCAAGCTGCCCTGTGATAACCCCTAACCCTGGCCACAGCCAAAAGGCACTCATAGGCGAGAGGCAAACACCAAGAAGCTGGGTCTGACCACTTGTTTGTGTTGAGACGAAGTGTCTGTCCCACAGAATGGCCCCTGGCTGCGTCTGGGAGGCAGGTCCTGGCTGGCCAGGTCACACCCGAGACGCAGCCTTCCGATGCACAGAGGTGCTCCATGGGGTGAGTCACTGATTCCACCTTCAAGATTCACCCAGACAACAGCACCACACCCTTCTGCTTTGGTCTGAAAATCAAGCTGGGCTGGAGATTCGCAACACCTCACATGCTTTGTGGTAGAAGCCAAGAGACATCTGCCCACAATGCCAGCCTCTTAGAATATCTTCAATCCAAACAGGCCCTTGTCTTCCCCCACACAGTTCCCAGAATGGAGGCAGTCACTCAAGTGTGAAGGAAGAGAAGAATCTGACGTGGCTTCCCAGTCCCATCTCATCCCTAATCTTGTTGTTTATGGAACCAGCAAAGCCCCCTTTTGTCCAGGTTCATTCCCATTCCCAGGGAGCCTTGGCTTTTATATGTAAACTGCTTTCAATGCCTTTTTACTTACAAGAGAAGGAAAGTCAGGAGGTATGAAGGTGCTATAGTTTGGATGCTGACTGTCCACAGCATGGTCCCAGTGTGGTGTCCCTGGATGTGCTGTGGACCTTTAGGAGGATGGGTTTTGAGGGAGGTTCTTAGGTCTTGGAGTTGTGTCTTCAAAGAGGATTATGGGGCCTCTTCCCCTTTCATTGTTCCTTTGCTTCTTGGCCATGAGGCAAGCCATTTGCTCTATTTGCTTCCTGCTGCTGCCATCCAGTACCCACTGGACGCCCAGAACAATGGGTCTTCCTGACCTTGGACTGGAACCCAAATAAACCTTTTGAGCTCAAATACACCTTTTTTCCTTCTTAAGTTACTATCTCACTATATTCATCATAGTGAGGGCAAACTAACTTCTGACCAAACTTCTACAGAATGAGAGAACTGGCTAAGAACAGAGGGTTCCAGCACTGAGCTCTGCCTGCACAGTGATGTCTAAACCTAAGTAAGGTCAGTAACTAAGGAACCCTGCACAGGCTTTCAGTTTCAGCCAAAGGAAAAAACAAGATGCTCATGGTGGCCCACAGCCTTCACCTTCATTTTTCTGCCCATCTCTCCCCAACTTATTTTGCACTAGCCTCCTTGTTATCCCCCTAACACCCCAGGAACTCCTCTGTACCAGACCTGTGAAAGCCCTGTACTATGCTGTCTGGAAAGTCCATCCTGTGTGTATCTGCTTGATCCGCTCCCCACGGCATTCAGGAATCTTCCCCAAATCACAACATCAGAGAATAACATTCCTCTCCTCCACAGTCCAACCTCCGTTCTATTTCATCACCACACAACTAATGAAAGGTTGATTTGTTGCCCGTCTTCTCTCCATTGAATCTGAGGGCTCTCGCCCCTGGTGCATAGGGGGAGCATAATAACCGAGTCCAATGAAAGGAGCTGGATGCTGGGCTCAGACTCAGCCTGAGCTCTGTATCTACTGCTTCCCTGGGCCCTGTGTCCCTTGGCTAACACACCTCTCCCCGATCATCTTTCTGTGCGCTAATGCAGCAAAATCCAGATGAGACAGGAAAATGGGGCCCCTGTCAGAGGGGATGTGATCCGGCTGCCCCAGGGGTGGCCATGGGCAACTAGCCCTGCTGTCTTCCTGTAGCCTCTGCAACCATGCTAGCAGCACCCTGGAGGTCCTGCTCACTCCTGCAGCCCTCACAGCAGCCACGGCTCAGCCCACCTGGGCCACCATAGGTCTCTGCCACTGCCTCTTCAAAAAGCCATGGAAGACCCTGAGTGAGAAGACAGACGGAGGAGGGACCCAGCCCACTACTGATGCTCCCAGAACCTCCTCAGAGTTGTGACTTCAGCCCTGCTATTGGTGTGGGTACAGCGGAAATGTCTACCCAGCAGCCACTTCTCTGACAGTGCTGAGGAGCTGTTGCCATGACAGCTGAGGCTGTCCTAGATGTCCCATTGCTGTAGCTCCAGGAGACACTTGCCTTGGCCACAGCAGGTTGAACCTATCCCAGGTATCTCTGCCCTGCGACCTCCAGATGACCTTACCTCCTGTAATTTCAAAGGTCCCAAGGCCTGTGAAATGCAGAGTATGAATGCGCAGCCTCCTCCTCCTCCTCTATATAAGCAGTGTTCCCCGATACTCTTTGAGTCCTTCAGAAGGGCTCGCTCCCGTGCACTGGCCTCTTGTGCTGTAGCACAGATCCTAATAAAAGCCTCCCTTGGGTGGTCCTATTGCCTACTCATGATTCTTACAGCTGGTAGGATTGGCCAAGATGACTCTAGGAAAGAGCTGCTTACACAAGGGGCTGTTTGCTCTGAAGAATTCCAGAGTGTGGCAGAGACCTCAGTGACTTGCAGAGACCCAACAGACAGAAGAAGCTGCTGGGAGAGCCCCAGAAAGCTACCAAAGGAGCTGTGAGCACTGGCTGCTGAGGAGCTGGTAGAGGTGGCTGGGAGCTGCTAAGATCTGTCACAGTAAGAGCTAAAAGGTGCTGGCACTCAAAGCCCAGAGCTGCTAACACCAAGGAGCTGCACCTGCCAGTTCTTGCTTCTATCTGAATTGAGCAAAAGAACTCACAGTCAATCAGTAACACAGATGGAAATACAGAAAATATAAGACAAGGCAAGCCTATTCATCACGAGCCATCTCCAGCCCCTCCTTGCAGGCGGGCTGGCTAGGTCTCCTTTGGGTCTTGGCATCACATCTAGAACAATGGCTGAATGCCTTGTATTCGGTTCTCAGTTTGGTCCATTCTCTCTAGTAGCGGCAGCCCAGACTACCCTCTAACTTCCAGGCCAGCCTGAGCAAGTCAGTCACCACCAAATGAGTTCTTGCCGACCTCTGCGTTAAAGCAGGCAGATCCCCTCCAGGCCCCAGCTGCTGAGTTGTACCATTGACAGACGTATCATATGGCTCAGCCTCTTCATAGTAACCCTCAGGAGACTCGATCTTTGGGACCCCGAGCTGTTTCCGTTCTGGAATCTGTGGCATGAACAAATAAAACACACATCTTCAGATACGGTACACTGGAAACAACTTGGACTCAGCCTTTCAGGTGGAAGCAGGAGGAAGTCCAGAAGAAACGAATGCCCAACTGGACTTCAAGCAAGTGGGAAGGGGAGTGTGGAATACCAGGAACCCAGACTCAGATACAGTTGTTTGTCTTGAGCCTTGCTTCCCTTCTCTGTAAAACAGGAATCCTATCGGTACTGTTCCGAGGACTCAGTGAGACACACGTGACAGTGTTTCCAGAATGTGGCCCATTTTAAATATGAGACACTGTTACTGTCAGGGGCCATACCTAGGGCTCCACAGATTGGGCAGGAAGGGCCGCTGTCATAACAGGAACCAACTCACGGGACTGCTGCCCTGCTAGCAGAGGCCAGCTACAAGCTGGGTCTAGCACCTGACGCCTCACATCACCCCTGTAAGAAGAAATAGATTTCCTAAGCTGGTCAGGGACTGTACCAGGTGGTGGATGGCTGCTGAGGGAGACAGGTGTAAAGGGCACCTCAGGCCGGCTCCTTCCTGAGGGCCAGGGCTTCACACACAGTGAGCACGCAGTCCAGAGTGACTAGGAAGTGACTTCTCACTTGCTGCCATTAGCCGGATGATGGGTCTTTGCCCTCCTAGTCACCCTGTCCTCCTGGACAGCCAGTGGCTTGAAAAGGGCTGCCTATGAGACGGGCTGGGTTCTGTCTGGGGCCAGAAGGGAAAGTGTTCTCTCCCCTTGCTAGTGGCAAGGTGTTTTCCGGATGGGCCCCAGAGGAGCCCATGCATCCCTACCTAGAGGCCCCAGCCTCTGAGGAGCCCATTTCCCAGCAGGTGGCACTAAGACTCTCTCTCCTCACTCTGGAGAGGAGCCCTGGATACCCAAAGTCTGCTCAGGGGTCAGTTCCCACAGTTAGAAGAGGACAAAATGGGAAGGAGCTTATCTGCGTCTGTAGGAGCTCGCTGTAGGTCACTGCACCAAAGGGCCTGTCCCTAGTGCCCACCCCATCTTGGGTAGAGCAGCAGGTAATGTTTCATGAAAGTCTCTTAAGAGTCTCTGACAAATCTACTGCAAATGGATCAGTACTGAGAGATGGTGTAGGACTGAGGTAAAGAACCACCCTCCATGCCTAGCCCAGATCCTGACACTGACCCTAGCCATGTGACTCTGACCAATCAATGAAAGCTTTCTGGGCCTCGGTGTAAAATGCACTAGAAATACGTCACATAGGATTGTGGTAAGGATTAATCTATTCTCAGCAACATGATGTACTCAATAAATATCAGTTCTTACTAACCTAAGGAAATATAAAAATACCAAAGGCCAAAACGTTTTGTGTATGTGTGCTTGGTGGAGGACTTTTTTTTTCAGTAAGTCTTTATTATTTTATTATTGAGACAATAGAAATAATATAATATTAAAATAATGGAATGCTGTTTATCCAAGTAGTAGACAGAGAAAAAAATTTAATTGTGCTCTATGAATTTATAATCTTGAATTTTATTTTTGGTTTTATTTTAACGTAATATAACTAGATAATAATAAAAAAATAAAGCATCCTTCTATAAAAAAGTTAATTTCATAACACAATAATTAGAGAATAACAATAGTTAATACACTGTGTATCGTGACCTTAAGAGAATTATAACAATATGTTACTTAGAGTATAAGTCATAGACAAGAAAGACTCTTTCACAAAGAAAAAACAAACAAAAGGACAAAACTTTCTGTTCAGTGAACAAACAGAAACCAGTGGTATTACACCTTGGTATTTGACTGCTTTGAACTTCGTCTCACTTGGTATTTGACATGAATGCTTTGTCCTGGTACTCATGATTTGTTTGGTAGTCAGCGTACAAGCTAGAACTTGTGAGCTGCTCCTTCCAGCCAAAACAACCTGGTACTGGTCGCACCTCCCAGATCCAATTAACAATGAGTACCTGGTAGCACTGTATTCCAGAGGAGCACAGAGCAGAGCCTGGGCCTGCCCTGTCTAGATGCTCCATGCTCTGCTTTACCTTGCTAAATGGAAAGGCCCCAGCTCTCCAGGCTCCTGGGCCATACACACTAAGGTCGAGCAAAGTGTGAAAATGAGTTCCATAACAGTTCAGAAGAGGATCTCATAATTATAGATACAACTATCTTAGATCTACTTACTAACTGGGGTCAAGGGAGAGGGAGCGTCGTCTTCCAGGGCTGAGGAGAAAGGGCTCTTATTTTCAGTACCAGCACCCTTGTGATGAGGGAGAGTGTGAATACTAAATGAAGAATGCAAAGAGATTTAACTTTAGTACCTCAGATAACTGACTATTTAGTCAGAGGACGTGCGTAGCTCACCCTGCTCAGCAGGATTTACCTGGGAACCACGATCTCCTTCCTGTAAAGGGCCAGGTAGATTTTGTAGGCTACTTGGAGCCTCTTATCTCAGCTCTTCAGCTCTAGACTGCAGCACAGCCCCAGACAGTGCCTGCTAAAGCCGCATGCTATGCTCCAGTGAAACCTCGCTGGCTGAAGTAGGCAGCAGGTGGGAGTTACCCAGCAGGCCACAGATGGCCAAGCTCCGGCTGAGACAGGAGAGCTAACGTCATATGAGGTGCAGCCTAAGTGACACAAGCTTCCCTGCAGCTCTACGCACCTGCCCCGGGTGCAGGCAGTGGGAGAGTGCGTAGGCCGGGCCTCTACACTGACTGTAGTGGCGCCTTGTTAGGGGTCCTCTGCTTCCCTGATAAGGCAGTTCAGTGGAAACCAGTACTAGTGCATGTTCAGGCCTCCAAGGGGAGATGGGTGGAGACGGCTGTGCTCGCCAAGAGCGTAAACAGTGGCCAGCAAACATCTGTTTCTCCTGCAGTGACCACACCACCTGGCTGGGCAGACAGTGCTGTGGAAAGGCCACAGCTGCCTGAGTCACTGCCCACACTCATGAGGTTTTCCCAGACCCCTGGCTGCCCTTTCATCGCTGGGCAGGCTGTCCCCCGAGCCCGTGGGTTGTAGTGAGGACCCGAGCCACCATGGAGGGAATCAGGGCCCACGGCCAACAAGCATCCTGACCCTAGACAGAGCCCGCGATCCTGGCCCAGCTGGTGGCACGGAAGGGCCAAGGCAGACATCCAGCTCCTGCCGTAGCCTCCAGTGGGTGGCAGTGGCGTGGGGCCCAGATTTTGTGAATAAGGCCCCATGGCAGGCTGATGCTCTAGGGTCGGGGGGAAGGGAGGGGCTTTTTCTGCCTGATGAAGAAGGGAGGCCACGGGGTCACTCCAGGCCCGGGCTCAGGGTGGAGCCGACAGAGTCCCTCCCTGGGAGGCCTCCACTTCAGCTCTGGATCTCCTCCTCCCTCTGGCTCCACCCAACACCACTCCTCTGGGGGCCTCAGCCTAAGTATGGCCAGTCAGCTGAGGCTTCCTCAGAGAGGCCCGGGGGAGCAAAGACGCACCCCGCACACGTGTGGAGACGGAGGGGGCATCCTGAGTGATGCCCCTCACGCGGCATTCAGAACCCCTGCGTGTGGCAGTGGGTGCCTACGACAGAACTAGAAGGAACCCAAGTGAGGGAGCAGTGGGCCACACCCCTGCCCTGCTAGCAGAGCAAGTCCACAGTGGGGAGGGAGCCAGCCTGCTCTGTACAGTCAGCTGGCGTGGCTGGAACTCTCCCCGGGCCTGGACTCCATCCACACGGCAATGACCATGCCTTGGAAAGGCTCCCCACGACCGTGCTACTCCTGAGTGTCGACATTTTCCCCAACGCCAGCACCAGGTTTCTCTCGGTTGTGCTCACAAGCAGCCCGCAGTCACAGAAGCTCTCTAGAGGGAGGCCTGCCTCCTTGTCTGTCCCCCACCCCTCACGTTGCTCAGATGTTCTTCCTGAAGTTGCTATAGGGGACAGAAAAGCCCACACCAGGATCCCAGGGGCTACTGGACCCACCACAATCCAGTTAGATCAGATATATACCCAGTCTCAAACCCAGGGCCTCTCAGTTCACAGTGCTTATGAGACCGAATTCTAGAACACTCAGCACCCAGTGCCGGTGAGACCCTGCCTAGTGGAATGCCCTCCACCATTTGTTGACCTAGAAGCAGCAGCCTTTGATGTGGCACATGGGGCATTTCCACTAGCAAAAGCTGACATCCTCTGGGTCAGATCAGAAGCCAGATTTGAGAAAGGAAGGTTCTAGCCTTCGTTGGGAGCAGCTACGATTCCAGTCCCATCACTTAGCAAGCAATGCCAGAGACATACCAGAAAACCTCCTCTCAGAGAACCACAGCTCCTCTCATCTACTGGAAGCAATCAGCATCTCAGTGGGAGAGCAGAAGGGAGGTGCCTCCCCTGGTCCTCAAAATACCTGGGGAAGAGCAAGGGGCAAGCACAGCTCCATCTTGCCCCTGCTACAGAGGTAGCAGCAAACCTGCTTCCCAACTCTCACCAGTGCTGTCCAGCTATGGGGCCTCCTCGGCGTGTGGTTTTGACTTGCTGAGCTTGCTTTTTCACATGAAAAACTGTGACAAAAATACCACCCCAGTTGGATGGGGGTAGGGGTCACGTTGGGGTACATGGATGGGTCTTGGCATCCTTAGCATCATGGCGACTCCTAGGGACTAAGGATCAGTCCAGCAAATCTCATCCAGCCCAAGACAGAGTTCCAACAGCACCCAGCTTATATAATGAGGCATTGTTGTAGGCTCTCCAGAACTGTTCCCAACTCACATGGTGGACTCATATCCCAGCTTGAGTATGACTCATCCCTGCTGCCTGCAGAAGCCTCAGCGAAGGGCCTGTCCAGAGCCATTCTGGGGCTGGGACACCCTCAATGGTGACATGAGCCCACAGATCAGGAGACAGGTCATTTGAGATCAGCAACCACAGAGTCAGCTTCCTGCTGGCACAGCCCTCAGGTCTACTGCTTCCTACATACAGCCTTCCCAGCTATGACCCTGTACCTTCTCGGGGGAAGGACCTGGGTCCTAATCCTGCTGCTGCCACTTCAAGGCTCTGAGACGTTGCCCGTGACACATAAATCCACTACTTAGCTCACTGAACACTAGCACAGAACAGCACACACACTGCTACATGGCCTGCAGAACACGACCAACTGGTGAGACAGCTGCCAACATCCTTTCCACTTTAACTCCAGGAAACAAAGGGCCAGGGACATTAAGTAACTTTCTTAGGGTCAAAGAGCTAGACCTGGCTCAGCTGGGGCCTGATTCCAAGTTTGTAGGACTCTACACACTCATGGTGATACTTAGAAAAGGCATTTGATAAAACTTCCCCAAGCTCATCATCTTTAGTATGGGATGAGGTGGCCCTGAGCAAACGCCAAGTCACTTGTACAGGTTTTCTTTGCTGTCTCCCTCAATGCCCTTCCCCATGCCCTGCTTACAGTAAGTGCTCAGAGAGTGCCAGAGGGTTGGTAGATGGTTGTCTGTGAGGACGGTGGAAGTTCCAAGGGAAGCTGGGAGTCCTGGATGGACACTTACCATCTTGGGTGGTGGAAGGTCTGGAAGGCTCTTCTGAGGAGCCGAGGAGTGCTGACCAGGCTCCCCATTGGTCAGTGGACCCTGCTCCTTGGGCACTGTGGGCAGCAGGAAGAGAGGGCTTCCGTGAGGGATGCTGAGCCTCATGGCAGGGTCTCATTACCCAGGAATGTCTGGTCATGTGTCCTGTCCCCTGTCCCGTGAGTTCTATTTGAGCAGGTGTTAATTACCCAGGGAGGCTGTTTTTCCTCCAAGAATAGGTGCAGCATGCCCCAGCTGTAGGCAGATTCCTTGGAAGGAACCAGCTTGGGTTTCTGGCAAGCTCCCCCACCCAGTCCATGTCAAAAGCGGCCCAGCCACAGAGCTCCAGCGAGCAGAGCCTCTGCCTGGTAGTCACTATATTGAGCTGTTCTTGGCGCTGACCCTGTGATTATGGCTTTTCCTCCCACAGTTTACCCAGAAGGCAAATGACCCTGGGCAGAGTGGCCGCTACCACCTGGATAAGTCCTGCCATCCCAGGCTGAGGAAGTGGGAGAGGAGCTGCAAGGGGTACAAGAGGTGAGGAAGGCACATGAGGAGTCACGCCATCAACCCTCTGTGCATTTGTACAGAAAGGTACCAAAGGTTCTTCCAAGCCCTAGTCTTTCAGCCAGCCGGGCCAGGTCCACAACAGACAGCTCAGCCAGGTCTTCCTTCGGGCTAAGGTGCCTGCTGCCGCAAAGGCAAGCCCTTTATAGGACTGAGTCTGTGGAGCTGTGTTTCTGCCTCTCTGTAAGACTTTCCACGTGGGTCAGGCTTAGGAGTTGGGAAATGAGCTGCTTATATAACTACATCTGCCTCTGGCAGCCCTGCAAGCCTCTGGGTCCCCTGGAATCTACCAGACCCCTTCTGGAAAACTGAAGAGAAAATCAGTGAGCACGGGAGTGAGGAGCCAGGGAAGACATCATAGGTCCTTCAGTGGAAAAGATTAGAAGTTCTGCCCAAGAGCATCATTTTTGAATGTTAAGGCCATTGCTGACACCACTGTTTCTCCTCTCCTCCCGGAACAGATATTTATGAAAGGACACAAAGCGGGGACCGTGGGATCAGCAACACACACAGCTGCTTTCCTAGAACATCTGAATTATGACTTCCTCTTCTTGGGATGATGCTGGGAAAAGCCAAGAGATTTTAGGGACAGATTTCTTACTCAATGGGCAAGGAGGTGGCAGCCTGCTAAAGCATCCAAAAATACACCAACCCAAAATACCGCTGACCAAAATGTGCATTCCAAAAATAACTCCTCCAGGCCTGTCTGTACGTTGGCTGGGAGGAAGGAGAGGAGGATGGAGCCCGGCTTCACGCTTTCCCCTCCTGGGAGCCAGTCCTCCCAGCAGCCACCCAGCCCCATACCTTTGTCCTGAGACTCGGCATTCTGTTGCTTGTTCACCGTGACTTTGTTCATGTAAATGTACTCCTCATCAGAACCTGCAGAAGGGCAGAAGACAGAGGGTTCACGTGACTTCAGGAAGGGGGCCGGGGCCTCCAGGGAGAAGCAGTGACCCCCTCACCCGAGACATCTTCATCATTGGGGTTCCATAAAAACACTCAGCTTTCTGAGTTGATTAAGAGTCCGCCACGGAGAATTGACAGATTTCCAATCAAGAAAAGACAAGTTCCAGGCTGCTGATTTTCTAGCCCATGGGGATGGAGGAGAAGGGTAGGGAATAGAAAGATGGCTTTGAGGGGGCTGGGGATTTAGCTCAGCAGCAAAAGCGCCTGCCTGGCAAGCGCAAGGTCGTGAGTTCGGTTCCCGGTACCGGAAAAAAACCAAAAAAAAAAAAAAAAAAGAAAGATGGCTTCGGGAATAAAAGCTGTATGTTGAAATGTACCCACACTTCAAAGATCTGCCATAGATCTATCAAATAGAGATGTCTCTGACTCTCCCAGCATTTCACCTGTGCTATAAAAGATTTTTTTTTAATCTGTCATTCTTATTGTCGCCTGAATTGCCTGAAGGGATTAATCAGAATAATGTCTAAGTTTAGCTCCCAGGCCCCCAAGAGTGGGGAAGGGTTGCTGAACAGGAAAATCAGATGAGCTCTGATGAGGTGAGGAGGCCGGGATGGGACAAGGGCCACCAGCAACCTGCTATACCCTGTAGATGGTATCCTGTGGTGAGGACACATCACAACCCTGCACTTTAAATTACGCTACAAGGCTACAGTGATAGAAACACGATGGTACTGGCGCACAAACAGACATGGATCAATGCCACAGAACAGAGGATGCAGAACAACTCCAAGCACATTCAGCTAGCTGATCTTTGACAAAGAGGCAAAAAGTATACACTGGAGGAAAGATAGCTTCTTTAACAAATGGTGCAGGGGCTGGGGATTTAGCTCAGCGGCAAAGTGCCTGCCTGGCAAGCACAAGGTTGTGAGTTCGGTTCTCGGTACCGGAGAAAAAGCAAAAAAAAAAAACAAAACAAAAAAAAAAACAAATGGTGCAGAAAAACCTGGATATCACATGCAGAAGATTGGATCTTGACCCATATCTTTCACCATATATGAAACTAAAATCAAAATGAATCAAAGATCTAAATGTTAAAACATAAACAATCTGCTGGAAGATAAAACAGATAAAATTCTTGAAGACACAGGAGAAGGCAAGAACTTTCTGAACAGAACCCCAAATGCATAAGAAATAGTAGCAACAGTCAACAAATGGAATCATTTCAAGTTAAAATTTTCTGCACAGCCAAGGAAACAACCAATAGAGTGAAGAGATAACTTACAAAATGGGAAAAAAACTTTGTCAGCTATTCCTCGGATAAGGGACTAATATCTGGAATGTATAATGAACTAAACCAAAATTATAACTGAAATGAACAGAAGATGTTCTTAGAAGATGTTCAAATGGACCATAAATACCTGAAAAAATGTTCAACATCTTTGGCAGTTACAGAAATGCAAATTGCAACAACACTGAAATTTTATCTTACTCCAAAAAGAATGGCCATCATCAAGACATCAAATAATAATAAATACTGGCAGGGCTAAGGGAAAAAGGAACGTTTCTACATTGTTGGTAATAATATTAGTACAAGCATTATGAAAAGAAGTGTGGAGATACCTCAAAAAACTAAAAGTAGAAACTCCATTTGACCCAGCTCTTCCCCTTCTAGGTATCTTCCTGCAAGAGTTAGATGCCATATTACAGTGATGTATGTAACCCGTGTGTGTGTGTGTGTGTGTGTGTGTGTGTGTGTGTGTGTGTGTGTATGCACAACTGACAATAGCTAGATCTTGGAAGCACCTGTATGTCCATCAACAGAAGAATGGATAAAGAAAATGTAGCATTTTTACACAATGGGGTGCTACTGTGTTATAGAGAAGGATAAATGAGTCATTTGTAGGAAAATGGATGCTCTTGGGAGCATCATGTTAAGTGAAATCAGATAGGCAAGCTTAAATATTAATATGGTTTTTCCTCTATGAGAAACCGCAAGCATAAATAAAGAGAAAAATAAAGGATAAAAGTAAATAGGTCTTCTGCAAAAAGGAAGGGGACCAAGAAATGGGGGGTGGGAGAGGGAAGAGGATGAAAAAAAGAACTAAGGTGTGTTACGTTCGTGTACCAACTCCCCACAAGGAATGTAATTATTGCAAACTGCAGATCTGTGCCAATGAAAAAAGAAAGAAAGAAGACTCCTCTCCCTCCAACAAATGCTTGTGTCCTGCAATGGCACAACCCCTCCTCTCCTTTGAAAATCACTTCTGTGCATCTCGGGTCACCTTTCCACCTTTGCAGCGGGCAAAGGACAGCAAGCTGCCTGCTGCACGCTTGGTTCCTAATCCACAAGCACTGCTCTCCTGACGCTGCCCAGGAGCCTATCCTGGCCTTTCTCCTGAAAGTTCTTTTGCAGCCCTTCATTTGCATTTTCTAGAAACTTGTGACTGATAAATTCCAGTGGTTGGAGAGCCTGAAGGACCCATTCCAACCCCTGCTAAAGGCAGCAGTTCACTTCAGTCTGTCCCATGGCCCAGACTGCCCAGACTCCAGCCAAAGGCCTGCAAAATAGAGGCCTGAGAATCAAGGAAGCCGGACGGGTCCTCGGCCACCAGTCCATCGGTTCATCACCTCGGCGCCCGGCCCTGCCAGGACCAGTCAGCAGGGTCAACTATACAAGGGACTGCAGCAGTTTCTGGAAGGAAACCGAAATGCAGTGGAGTTAACCACAGCCAGCCCTCTTCTACCACTGAGGCTCAGGGGGCTTCTGACTTCTGCACAGCACAGCCCCCGGGGATGAGGGTCAGCAGCAAGAGGCTGGAGACCGGGGTCTCAGCCAAGTTCTGCTGTTAACGGCCTAATTCCATGCAAAACATCTAAGCCCTGTGTCTCTGTTGGAAAACACACTTGTTCCTACCTAACTCTCATGCTTTCAGAAGTACAAAGCTCAAAGAAAAAGTAAGGTAAGCTTATAGTGAATAAAGATTAAAAATGACAGTGTGAAACATGGCAAGTAGTTGAAAGGCTCAACAATAGGAAAATGATGAAATAAATCATGTCACATCAATATACACAATGGCGTCACCTTTAAAAATTAGGTAGACTGGGCTGCAGGTGATTGGAGAAGGCAGCGCACCAGGGAACTGGGCTCACAATCTTCCAACTTCAGCTCATTATCAGGGTGCTTCGAAGCAGAGCACTCCTGTCTGTACAGGCACAGCTATAGCCTTGAAGATTTTGGCATCTGGGCCATGTTCCTAACCCTCAGCTCTTTGGTTTCATTCTGTTTGCTTGTTGTCGAGGGCTGGTTATTGAACCCACAGGGTGCTGTGCAATATCTAAAGCCCTTTCTACTAGGGTTTTTATTTTCAGTCATGGTCTTATTACGTGGCCAACACTAACCTAAATACTGTGACCCTCCTAGGTACTTGGGATTAAAGGCCCTGAGCTTCACACCCAGGCCCCTCCACTGTTCTCATGGGTGCACATGTAGGTATCAGGCAGGCACGTCTCACGTGAGCCCTGAGAGGGACAGAACTGCCTGGCATCTGGAATGCCACAGCCATATGACTTTCACCCCACCTCAACTTTTCCCCTCCCAGTGTTCCATGGGTATCAGGCTCCAAGTAATCACATTGCTTAAATGAAGCATATAACCTGCCTCAGGGGACAATTTTGACCTCAGCGGCAAAGTCCCCAAAGAGGGACAAGTGTTTGAGTTTCTGTTCAGTGGTAGAGTGTATGCTTTGCATGCTCAAGGCCCTACATTCAATATCTAGCACTGAAACAAAAATTGAGGAAGAAAAAAACTCCTAGAGCATGTATAAACTAGCACAATGACTTGGAAAGTGATCTTGGGGAGTAACTTAATTTTATGTGTTCATATCTGTTCTTATATCCACAGCTAGAAATTTGTCCTACACTTCAGCTCATAAACAAATTTCAGTAGAGGACCTTTACTGCAATCTTGTGTAAGTTCTCTTTTGTTTTTAGGTAAGAATACAACTCAGATGCCCAGCGAGAGGGGAATGGTGAATGTTACGGCTCAGCCATCAGTGGACACTGCCCAGCTGTGAAAAATAACGAAGGAGCTCCGTGTTCACTGTCTGCAAAGATCTCCAAGACTTAGAGTTCAATTAAAAGACCATGCTACAGAATAAAAAAAGAAAATATGTCAACTGCTACCATGTGAAAATGAGAGTGTGCTGCCAATTCCAAGTGTGAAAACAGAGCCAAGCAGAGACACGGAGGCAAACCACAGCTACACAAAAACACGAGGGTGACTGATAAGGATCAGGAAAGGAAGTGGAGATGCCTCGTACATAAACGGTGCTCAGTGGTCACTTTTTGCTCATTTCTTCTTGTTCCTAACCAAAAAATAAAAGCGAGACGTTGCTACTGTTTTGTTAGATTCGGCACAGGTGCATTCTTCTCAAGATGGTGATTTGTACATTAGAGAAAACTCACAATGGCTGCAATAGCAGGCTGCAAGTCCCTGCCTTCAGCTCTGGTGGCCTGTGGTAGAGGTGGCTGGTTGATTGGTTTTTGAGGCACTGCGGGTTGAACCCAGGGTCTTCACACTGAGCTACAGCTATATCCTCTCCTCTCTCTTTCCTTCTCTTCTCTTCTCCTCCCCTCCCCTCCATGCCTCTTTCATTTTGTTTTGAGACAAGACATGGCTAACTTGTCCAGGCCAAGCTCCAACTTGCAGCATTCGTGCCTCAGATAGATGTGGTTTTGACCCACACGGCGTTGCTAATCCAAGAGTAACCAGACTGGAGGAGCAGCTGAGTGACAGAGGCTGGTTTAGCATGCAAGAGGCCCTGGGTTCCATCCCAGCATCACCAAAAAAAAAGAAAAAGAAAAGCTCAGTACAGGACTATCGAAGTTGGTTAAAAGAAGCTCTCAGGCCTTCGGCAATTGTGGGGAAAGCACAGTGACCTTGGCTGGGGAAGGCAAGGGTGCTGACCATTTCCACCTAGGGAGGACCTTCTGTTATTCGCTCACTCTCAGAAGTGCAGAGAACCACAAAGACTTTGTCTCTGGCTTCACAACCCCAAGAGTCTGGTGTGGGGGAAACGAACCTGATAGTGAAACCCAGTAATGGGGAGGGACAGTGGCCACAGCGGGTGCTGGGAAGATGAACTTGCAGAGCTGGGAGGCAGTGTGTAATTCCCAGGGGGAGTCTGCCCTCATCTGCAGAGGGGGTTCTTCTCCCAGAACTGGGGCAAGGAGGAGGGCCATGAACCTCTTCATATGGACAGCATTTGAAGTACTTCTCATCAGAGGTGAGCAGCCACTGAAACGTGCTGGCACCTCTGAGCAGGAGAGGTGGTGGGAATGGTTCCTGCTGGCAAAACCATGCACAGACCATAGGCAGCCAAGCCCCTGACGAACAGCCCTCAGTCTGTGCCTTGTCACCACCCAGATCAAATGTAGAGAAGGCAGAGAATCCACATCAAGCTACAAAGATAAAAGCTTCATAGAAAAGGCAGGCGATTCCACTGGAAATTATAAATGCACATTCACACACTTACACTCTGTGCCACGTTTGTAAATGACTGCCCAGGCCAGTTCAGCCTGCCTCTGTCTACACGTCCTGGGACCAAAATTAGCTAAGTTTTTGGTTGCTACTCAAGGAAGGGGGCCTGGGAGGCTAACAGGAAGGTGGAGGTGCTTTACTTTCAGAGTGGGGAAGGGTGCTTAGGACCTGCCCTGGGCAACACTGTAATTAATCTAACGCAACAGGGCCTAAGGAGGGCAGTGCTTTACTTTCAGATCCAACCTGCCCCAGCTCGGCCACTCATGGCCATGTGCCTCTGGGCAAGTGACTTTCCAAGCCCTGGTTCCCTCACTGGTAAAATGGGGATAACAACACTGCCTGGCAGATTTGGGATGAGGATTAAGTGAGGTAATTCACATCAATGAATACATTAAGGGCTGGGCTCAGACACCGTAAACAGTAAGGTTAGCTATGGTGCTACCTTCTCCATAGTCTAAGGGGTACAGAGAGGGACAGAAGGAAATTCTGTCTACAGCAGTTATTAAAGAATGGGCATCAATCCTAAGAATACAAGTAGTCACCGGCTCAGTATGTGTGAACACGCTTATCAGCAATCTGGAGGCACTCTGGAGGTGATCCACATTGAGATTCCCTTAGTCAGCAGCCTCCCAACACCAACAGGCTGCAAATACCAAGGGTGGGGAAGGCCTGACTTGTAAGGAGGGCTGATCAGGGCGGAACAAAGGTCCCCCTGCTGGAGGCTTAGCCACATGTTAAACCAGAGAGGGGCCTAGTATGGGAGGTGCTGGCAGGGCAGTCTGTGCAAAGAATCATGGGTCAGATGGATCACAAAGAGGTGTTTTCCAATTGCCAACAGAGACGGTCTTTATAATTGAATGTTCTCAAGTCAAAGCACATCTTAAAAGGTCTGGGGAGTGTGCTTTTTAAAGGACTCCGCTGATGAATCCTTCCGTGGAATGAATCATCTCTCTCTAACGCCCTGCTTTGTAGTGTGGATTTCCCCTCTACCATTCCCACCAAGTGCTTCTTTGATGAGCCGGCTGGCAGACAGACGCTGCTACAAAGCCAGGAGGAGCCTGGGAACTGGGCAAAGGTGAGGAGGGGCGCCAGGAGGCCAGTCCTGATGACAAAGTGGGGAGCTGGGATTATTCCTCCACAAGGGAAGGCTGCCGGGCATACAGTAACAGGCTTCAGCTTTACTTTGGCTCAGTCATTCAGAGAATCAAAACAATTTCCACTGGGGGGCGGGGAGAAGAAGCAGAAAAGGGGCCTTGAAATGCAGGCTGGAAGATTCAGGTTGGACAGAGGGAGCATTTCCGGATTTTGATGGCTGGGCAGGTGGAGACTTTCCTTCCCTGGCACAACTCAGGCTGCACCTGCCGAGAGCCAGATGGATTAAATGCCCTCCAAGAGTCCTTATTGTCCCCAAACAGCAATTCGAGTTTTCAAACACTTAATGTAAAATCCACTTCATCTGCTAGGACTTCATAAGGTTTTCCTTAAAAAGAATTTACTAGAAATGAAACCATATGTCCATGAGAAGATTTTAAAAAGAATGTTCGCAGCAGCCTTATTCATTACAGCTCGAATTTGTGAACAATCCAAAAGTCTATCACAAGTGAATGGGAAAAAAAAAAAAAAGATTATGCTGTATTCCCAGCATGGACCACTCCCCAGCAACAAAAGCAATAAACTACTGACACATGCAAGAACGTGGATGGATCTTAAACAAAGGGAGCCAGGCATGAAGCACATACCTCATGATTCCATTAATACAAAGCTCCCAGGATAGGCAGCTACTCCATGGTGAAAGAAATCAGAACAGTTGTTGCCCTGGGGTTGGAGGGTGGAATTAACTGGGATGGGGTAAGAGACAGAACTCTCTGGATGACAGAAATGGTCTAGGTCTTGTTTTGGATGCAGGTACACAGCTACACCATTGTCAAAACTCAGTGCATTGTATGCTTCAGACTTGTATCCTTTTTGTATGTAACTGCTACTACAATAAAAATATGGAAAAATTATGAACTCAGAGTTTTGTGATTTACAGTCTTAAAGCTATGCTTTCCTCTTTTTCCTTTGGGCTACACAATACTGAGGAAGTTACCTAAACTCTACAGACTCTATTTTTTCCTCTGTAATAGTCACATTGATCATGGAGGAGCATCTTAAAAAGAAGTTCAAATGTGTGCATATAGGACATGCTCAATTAAGCCTTAATAGCTCATTACCTCTTCTCTACTTTTAAGTAGTAAGGAAAAGTACTCTAAAAATATTTCATTTAAAACCTCACTCACAGACTACTGTGTTGAACCATTCAGAGATTTCTGAGGCTCTCCCTCAAGTCAGGTCATCCCTGCACCTGTTTTTGTTTTGTTTTGCAGTGCTAGGGCCTGGCACATGAAAGCAAGTGCTCCTCCCCTGCACCACTGTAATGGGTTACGTTGTGTCCTTCACAAATTTCTTAAACCCTAGCCCCTAGTACTTCAGAATATGGCCAGGTATGGTGGTGAATGCCTATAATCCCAGCACTTGGGAGGCTAAGGCAGGAGGATCGCTGTGCGTTTGAGGCCAGCCTGGGGTACGTAAATGAGTTCAGAGCCAGCCTGTCTCAAAAACAAAAACAAAAACAAAAACAAAAAAACTCTTCAGAATATGACTCTCTCTGGACACGAGGTCTTTAAAGAGATAACTAAGTTAAAATGAGGGCATAGGGTAGGCTCTACTACAGTATGACTGATGTCCTTATAAAATGAGAAGATAGGACACAGAGTAAGGAGCACAAGAGGATACAAGACTGCCATTGGCAAGCCACGGAGAGGGGGTCAGAGGAACCAGACTCGATCCCAAAATTCCACCCTCCAGACGTGTACGACAATAAATCTCCATGGTTCAAGCCTGTGCCCATGTGTTGTGGCAGCCCGAGGTGACCAGCACTACCATCTTTCTGTGTCCCTGGGACCTCTCCCAGGCCCCAGACACACTTACTGCTGCTCTTGGTATAGAGCCGAAGGAGCTCTGCCAGGCCGCTCTTCTTCACCACAGCTGTGCTACTCAGGTTCTCCTGGTCCAGAATCTTGAGGAAGTCATCCAGCTCCGTCAGCAGCTGATCCAGGGCTAGAGATGGAAGGCAGGAGAAACCTTTCAGTGGGTGTTCCTCTCCCAAAGCCCAGCTCGCATGCCCCTCAGACCCTGCAGCATCCCACCACGGCCACCTCTGGTCCCAGGAGGTGAGATTCTCAGTTCTGGGAGCTCACTGGGACAGAAGCAGGCCCTTGATGTTGAGATGGATGCCCTCGGCCAAGCTTCGGGTCTGCTATTTGTTGGAGGAGGGATGGTGACCAAGTGGCCCCAACATTCTGAGTGTAATTTCCCCATCACCAGTGTCTGCCCTCACAGAGTTCTTGGGGGAAAACAGAACAGCTGCCAAAGAGCTTTGCTGGCTATTGAGCGAGACTTGCCCCTTGGAACTGTGGTTATAATCAGGGTTATTCTGATCTTGATTCCCTCCAGGAAACTTGGAGGCTATTACTTAACCTTCTCAGGTCAGTTAGATCAAATACTTGGTCAAGTTTGTTCCAGCACCGAAACCCTATGACTCCAAGACTGATCGTGGCTTGGCTGCACAGCTTTCTAAAACAAGCATGCTCTAGGATGGCCAGGATTAAAAGCTGCTCTTGGCTCCCTAGATGCCTACCAGCTTTCCTGCAAACTGCTACAATGCCACCCACTACATCCGTCACCTATGCCGTAGCCCAACTACTGTGCCCCACTTTCTCTGATAGTCACACAAAATGGAATTCTCCCCTGACAAATCTTATTCATCCCTTGGGTCTTGGACTAATTAACATTCTTCCTGCAATACTTCATCTGGGCCTCTGGGACAGTGAGGATTCCTTGGACAGATAATTCCACCTTACTGGCACTGGCCCTTTTGAAGCCTGAAGGGTGGCCTCCAGGGATGCTCACGTGCTCATCCTCTGAGGCTAGGAATCTGCTACTTTACACAGGAAAAGGGACTTACCTGTGCTAAAGTGAGGAGAGGATCCTGGATTACCTGAGTAAGTCCAGAGCAATGGTAAGAGCCCTGACAAGAGGCTGGAGGGTGAGAGTCAGAGAAAATGAGAGGAAAAAAGCAGGACCTCAAAAGCTACCATGTTGACTCTGAGGCTGGGAGCTGGTAGGCACCAAGAGCCAAGGAATGCAGGTGACCTCTAGAAGCTGAAAAAGCAACACTCTTCCGGAGCCTCCAGAAGCAACAGAGTCCTGTGGACACGTAAGTCTCTGATCTACAGACTGTGTGGTAATGAACTTGTGTGAGTCACTGAGCTTGGAAGTTCATTATAGCAGCGATAAGAAACCGATACAGTCTCTCACAGTTCCGATTGTGTCATACATTTTAACTGCCTGGATCACTCACTATATGCTCCAAGGACAGGCTTTGTGTCTAGTTCACATTTCCAGAGCCCAGCACAATGTCCAATAAATGTTAACTGATGAAATGAATGAACAAAAAAGCAAAGTACATTCACCTGCTTATTGTGTATCTGAAAACACTCCATGACCAATGCGTAAGAAAAATAAACCCTGGCCTGAATTGGAACGGAAGAAGAGTCCACTGAAACGCCAGGTATTTGGCAGGTCTTATGTAATGAAAACACTGCAGCAGGCAGGCGTTGGAAAATCCCTGCCTTCCCCCTTCACATACTATAACACCAACCCTGGGAACCCAAACAACACTTCCTTCAAAGGGTCGAGCTGAAACTACCTGTGAGTTTACTGCGCAGGACTGGTTGTTGTAAAACTCGGGCTCCTGCAGCTTGCCCACCCCCTGGGATCTCTGCTAGCTCCTGCTTTTCTCATGGCCCCTTCTCTCTGCACCAGCTGGAGCTCCTGATCTCCTTGGGCAATCTTCTAGCAGTGTCATTCTGGGAGTTCACTGAGGGCTGGGGAGGAACAGGCACGGCTGCCGGAAGTCTGCACCGCTTTGCTTACTTCCCCCGATACCCCTTGCTTTCTGGCATTGCTCATCACACCCACAATCACACTGAGGGATTTGTTAGTAACCAGAGGGAGGGAGGAGAGAGCACTGCACACCACAGCACGGGCTCTCTCAGGCTCTCCCAGGCGGCCAAAGGTTTGCCCAGAGGATGTACCATGGGACTCTGAGCAGACAGAAAGCAGAGCGGTGGGGGTGTCAGTGACCAAGGGTGTCCGTAGAGGCTGCGCCCAGTATCCTGTCCGCCTCAGTGGCTCCTGCCATCTCAACCAGTGGGGCTCCTCTTCTGGAGCCTTTGACTCAGCTCCATCCCCTGCGGTGGCCAGACTGGTTTTCTAAGTAAGGGCTGGGAGCCCCCCTGCCAAGGTCACTCTGCCCTCATCCAACTGATGGCACTGCTGGGCCTGGGCCAAAGTGCCAGGCTGGACAGCTTTAGAGATGGCATCGAAATCAGAGAACCAAATTAAAGAAGGGAACAGAGGGAAAGACGCGACAGCTTTTGCCTGGAATAAAGTCAGGAAGGCCGGCTCATAACCCAGTGTCACAAACCTGAGCTGGGGCAGGCTGTGCACAAATCTCTAAGGCTACTAGGTCCGTAAGTGTTTGGTCAAGGTCCACCTGTGCGGGTCCCGGGGAAGGTCTTAAAAAAATGAGAGCAAAGTCCCTGAACTGAAAGGCCTTTGGTTGGGTTTGGTTTTGTTTTCAACAGCTATTCATGAGCTTCCTGTTGGTTGCAGAAACTCAGCAGGCTTTAGCAGGGAGTTTAAAGCAGTCAGCCCGGGGAAAACAAAGGAAGAATATGAGGAAAGTCACTCTGGGCCTCACACTCAGGTCTAGCGGACAAGGAAAAGTGAGGAAACTGGGTCTTGGCCACATTTCCCTGACCTTCTGAACTTTTCAAGGCTGTGCCTTCACAGCTACTTCAGACAAGGCGGAGAGAGGAAAAAGCAGAAAAACTGAAAGTGTCTCTTCCCTTCCACATCCTTAGCTTTTCCCAAAAGCTGTTTGATTCCTGGAAAACAGCCTTTGTTTATGTTCCATGTGAGCAAGTACAGACTAAGCCAAAGGTTGGAAAATGTGCAAAAGAAGACAAAAGTCAAATGGGTCCTTAACTCTTTAGGGGGCCCCAAATCTGTAGAGGGGTGCCCTGTGAACATAAATACACACGTGAGAACAAGATTAACTTGGAATGTCTCCAAGGAACAGAAATGCACATGAGAGGCCAACTCTGCAGTTCCTGGGGAGAAGAATTTATGAGCTGGTCATTTAGGATTGCATAGGAGCTCACCAGGAAGCAGCAAAGGCATCTGAGGAAAAAGGGAGTGACTTCTCAGGAGACTCCAACGCTGAGCGCACTTGGTATATTGGAGAACCATGACCAGCTCTGTGTATCAGGGGCACGTGGGGCATGTGCACAGGTGGAAATGAGCCTCAAAGGGCAGGAGGTAGGCTCTGAAGCCAGAACTGTGGCCTGGTTTGCGGCAGATGGTGTGGGGCTTGTCTGCTCTGCTTAGCAGTTACTGCAGAGTCCTGCAAGCCCTACAGCAATGTGTAGGTAGGGCCACACGAAACTTCTTCAAGCAGGCCTGAAGACAGGTGAGGCCAGACGGACAGGGAGGCCAGTTAGATGGCTGCATTAGTGCAGATGAGAGCCCTGAGGGTGTGACCTAAGCAGGGCAGCCGGGCATGGTGCCATCAATTATACCCCATCCTCTCCAGTTCTGTCCCCTCTGGAAGGGCACAGCCACAAGAATGGGCTACTGAGGCTGACGTACAACTCAGCTCGGCACATGCCATTGAGCGGCGGTGCTGGGGCTCTAGCCCAGCTATGTCCAAGTCCAAAAGACTCACTGTCCGCAACATGAGTCATGGTCTCTGCTTTCTGGTCTCCCATACTCCACAAGGAAGGACACGGGGGCAGCTGCAGAGAGCAGGGTCAGAGGCTCTGCATGCCAGGGAGAGCCAGTGGGAGTTGGCAGCCATTCCGTTAGAGGGAAGATGGAAGGGAACATGTCCCAAGGGCTGAGAGCTGCACAACGCAATCAGACACAGAGACCTGGGGATGCTATGGTGAACTTGGCAGCCACGGTCCCTGCCTTGGAGAATTAATGGGAGACTGGTACTTGGGGTGCTTCTCACTGAGGACAGTGTCCATACCTTCTTTTCCTTCTAGAACAGTTGTTTAGGTAAGTGGTAAGTACCAGAGGTGAAGAAACACAGGGCCGGGGACCACAGTGAGTCACTTCCCTTCCTCTCTGGGTCCACATCATTCTTCAAGGTCCACCCAGGTCCACACAGGTTCCTTATCTAGGAAGTCACTTATGACCTGCTGCACTCTGCTCCCCTGCCAGCTCTGCCTCCCTAAATTTCTTTCTGTGAAGGCCAGCTGTACCCAGTCATCTGAGCATATGTTAAGTCTATGCCGGGGCTAGACATAAGCCCTTCCTGGTCAAGGGTCAGGCTTTGTAGGTTTGGGAATCTGACAAGATGCCAAAAAACACCGGAGCCTCTAGTGGTTCCTCTATAGACACATCCTTTCAGGGGGCAGCTACAGGCTCTTGGAAATAACAATCAACAGAGCCCAAGCCCTGATTTGCACCAATCTCAGTGACATTTTCCAAGCCTCAGGGCTCAGAGGGGCTGTGGGCCACCCCTCGGAGGAATGTGGCGATTCCATTGAGCTCTGGAACGTGCTCATCACATTTCCCTTCTCCCCCATACTTCTCATTTCAGTCCCTTCCTCGTCCTCCAGGGGAGGGAAGGGAAAATAAGTGTGTTGTTCACCCTGGAAACTGTAGGCCCTTGTACAGGCTTTCCATCCCAGCTCTGTTAAAGTTCAGAGTTGTCTGCTCGGGGTCTGAGAAATCATCAATAAGATTCTTGTTTAGAACTTCCAAGGCCCACGCAGAGTTGGACGGCTCAACTGCTCAATTCATTGCCCTGGGCCTGGCGGGGCCCTGCCTCCCGATGACCTCCTCCCCTGGCTTCTCTCCTCTTGAGGCAGTCTCGCTTCTCGGTCACTAGGTTCCCAACCATAAATGTCTTCCCAACACACCGAGAAAGTTGCTCTTCACAGTTCCCCTGCTGTCTCATGCACACATTTTTATTTACTCAGCTG